CTGCTGCCCTGTTTCACTACATGACGTGTGCTGCAGTTTGATTTTACTCCTTTGGCCTGTACGAACGGGCTATGCGTATCTCATCATTAAGTCCATATTTTGATAGGACCGAAGGAATACTGTATTTCAGATGTTTTACATGTGATTCTCATGCCTTTTCGCTACGTCCATGGTTTTATATATGGACACTGATGGTTGTTTCCCGATGATGGTGTAACCTTTAGTGAACGACAAATTAGAATCCCTCAGCCACCATGCCCTGACCACGCCCGAAAGAACTCAGTGGCAAATTCTTAATAAATACTCCTCGATAACCCCAGAATATTCACTGCGAAGGGCCTTCATCTGTTCCTCGAATTGCTTCTTGGCGCGTGCCTTTGCCTCGTGACTTCTCTTCTCCTCTTGCCGAACCTCGTCCTTTGTACTCTCCCAAGAGGGACAACTGTGACTTCTTAGACGTGTTTCTTCAGAAGAAGATAGATACGGACCTATGCCACATGTCGGAGAACTTTGACTGCTGCGATAGTTTCGACCGAATATTCATGACTAAACGATAAGCTTCCTTTTCTTGCCCGCGTTGTTTGTGCCGCGCCTCATCGCGCTCTCGTTTGGCATCTGCGATTACTGCGTCCCGTTGCCGCTCCAGTTTACATACTTGTCTGATATATTCTTCGAAGACTCTTCTACCTTGGGCAGTTCGAATGTCCAGTAGCTCTTCATGCACGCCAATGTGGTGAGATCTCGCGCTTGATTTATTTGGGTCCACGTCTGGAGTTAATGGTCGATCCTCAAATGGAACTGAAGGATTTTGATCCGGTCCCTCTTGGTGAGTCTGCATCTTCAAACAACTACAGTTATTGTGATTTCTTTCGATGCTTGATTGTTGAGCCTTTTGGACGCAAAGCTTCGTAGTTTCGGCTTTGCTGTGATCTGTGCTCAAAAGCTTTGGAAACTAAATATATAATTAACACAGGAGAGCCTTTAAACTTTCTAGACAACTAACTTTTTTGTGAACCATTCTTTCTTCAAAAGTGACTTAGGCAACCTTGCAACCAGAGTGTGGACTACCATGGCTCTTTTTTTTTTTTTTGGGTGGAAGGGGAGGGGGGGCTTCTCCCCTCTTGTCATTTCAACTGCCATTTTCGAATAGCAACGAAATCGGATTCAGCCACCGTGTAAACATTCCGTAATGAGACCATTTGGAGATTCTATATATTAATGATGTTTTTGGGAGACCTAGAGAGGATAATCCCTCTCATAACAGAATCCATCTTGATCTATGAGATATTATAATTTGAAACTCATAAACCCTCGTCATAACATCCATATTGATCAACGATCAATGGCAACATTTGCCATGAGATAATATAAATTAACTTTAATGTACAGCGTCTCTGTCAAAGTCTGATTTTGTCAGGAGGTAGTCCAGGGAGTTCTGGACGGTGGAGCTTATTGCTTTGTACCTCGACCATTCAGTACGTCACGTGTTAAGGCGTAGTTGACTGCGTACCGCAACGCGTGTCACGTTAGCGTTCGAGGCAATCTTCAAACTGTTTTGCGGTACTTCTCCATCACATCCTTCTGCACTCCTGTCCCCGACTTTAGTTCATTTTCAGTTTTGTTGGGAAATACGCCTCTTTGGCACCATGTGCTGTGGCCGATTTGGCTACGCTACGCAGCGTTATGATCGGAGCAGAGCTGGGGAATATGTGAGACGTGGCGTGGTACAAGGTATATGGCACAGGGGAGCAGCTCACTGAACAAGGTGCGATACTAAGGAAATCGATATCAGTCACAATGAGTTCACAATGGATCTTTATCTGTAGGCTTGAATCAAGCTTCTAACACTGAGAACCAATTGGTTTTACATAGGAGACCACAACTTGACAGACCAGCAATAGCCTTTGGATACTCCGGGATATGGGACGCTGATGAAGTCTTAGAATGTTGTGCTATACTGGCAGTCCGGCTGACTTCGTGGACGCATTGCCAATATTACTGTCGTCACCCTGGAGGAGGTGTGGGTTCTCTAGTGAACCTCAATCTCTTCAAATTGGTATTGGGAGACAACACTCTTTTATCCTCGTTAGCTGTTGTCCATCTTTCCATTAGAAGTAATGGGTTGTGGTCCTTTCAGTGGATCTTCGGTCTAGTTTGACCTGTATTGACTGTATTAGCCTTCAACCCACACGTCATGTCAAGAGGCGGAAAGGGTCGTATTGCAAGGGAGAATTTGCGATTGCAAAAAGGATCGAAGACAGGATGAACTCTGTCTGGGAATATTGGGGCGTTTTCTGTAGTGTCAGATGGAAACGAGACGCATCTAATACAGTAGCATGAAAAAGATTTGATGAGACCGTCTTTAGACAGTTATCAAATATATGAGGAATTGGTCTACGAACAGAGACCACGGCATCGCTAATATCGCATGTTACTTTCCGGGCTCACAAAGCTTACATCCTTTACAGCGGCGAGAGAGCCTCATAATTTACAGACGATCCCATCCGCTCTTGTGCCCAAGCCACAAATGGCCAGACTAACAGTTGGGTCGACGACGACTAGCGAATTCCTGTTGTTGGATACTTTTTCTATTCTTCTTGATGCTCTTGGAGTTGAGTGTTGAGGCGTATTTGGAACTTCTGTGATTTATTTATCCTCTTGAAGTCTGAGTACTTTGTTATGGTTGATGTATCTAATTTTGTGGCTATACAGTTTCTACCTCTGCTTTTCGCGGGTTGTCCCTCGGAGATCTGTCAATGGGAATCAAGTTTGGGTTTACCTCCAGGTGCATTAACAGTCAGTCTAGCTGGCAGCAACCTTGACTCTCGGAAACTCTCGTGGCTGAGCAGTTCGAAGCAAATACGCTTTACTGCAAACCGGACTGAGAAAGCGAATCTGAATCAGGTGAAATAGCTGCATAACGGCTACTACCAAAGCGTATACTGCATTCATGATCAAATACTAGAAATCGTATCCTGGAGCTTCAAGGATATAGATCAAAGTATTTAAAGGCTTCTGCCATGTAGACATCCATAAATACTATGGAGTCGGCAATAATACATTAACTCTATATTGACAGATAAGTTTCGTTTCGTGTGTATATCTAAAGGTTATGACAGACTGAACCTGATGCGTAATGATTCATGCTCAAGCTCATGTTCTAGCTCTGAGGCCTCATCTCATCTCGGCCGAAACGCCATGCTACCAAAAGCACGGTCTAGCTCTTCGCCTTCATCGGGAGCTGGCATCTCGATCACTCCTCCCGGCTGCTGTTGGGCCGCGGCGATGCTCATGCCTGCAAACTGCTCACTCATGCTGCGCTCGTCTCCGCTAGCCACCTCGCCTCCCAAGATGACAGACTTGCGTTCTGGCTCGAGCAGCCGTGCATCACTGTCGAGCCACCCAGGTGCGACTCTGCGCTTCTCGGCGAGCTCGCGTGCCTTGATCCGGTCATCCAGCGCTCTCAGTTCGGCATCGGCGTCCGCCTGGAGCTTGGCCACGTGCGCCTGTAACGCCCGGCACGACGCTATGATGTCGTCTGGATGTGCTGCATGGCCCGACTGGGATATGACGTACCGCGCCTTTGCGGACGGGTCGCCGTCGCTGCCGTCTGTGGCGCCGGTGATACCAGTGGCGGATGGCGGCAGGGTTGATGGCATGGTCTTGTAAGTGTATGGAAGTGTAGTTGCCGTGGGCAGGTTGACGAAGGGGGACACCGTCAACGGGACCTGCTCCAAGAGCGGATGAGAGCCTAGCTTTTTAGATCAACATGTTCGGTCAGGGCGGGAGTTTCAACATACGATTGTCATGCATGATGAATTCCGGCTCTGATCGGATAAGTGTCCTGACAGTGTCCACAATGCGGGGTATCGGGGCTGGTCCTGTGGACTCGAAGTCGTAGGTGTATAATATATAAGCCTTGTGACAGTTTCAGCACCTTTCAATGTGAGAGAACTTTTGGGAAAGCAGCTTTGAGGATCTGAATGCTGAATGACGGAAGGCAGAAGCGTGATGCCCGTGAGGTCGGATAGGTAGTGACATGTGTGGGGTAGTTCATGTGTGATAAGAGCTCGGCAGGCAGTTGATAGAGCGCACATCAAGCTCAAGCCCCACCAAAAAGTTCATTCATAGCAACGACATCCCACCTTCATCAGCTTTCGAAAGTCAACAAAGTATTGCAGTGTCAAAACCGTCCACGATGCCGCCCATCACGATCAGATCTCCGCCGCCGCTCGACAGCTACACGCTCCTCAGCGAGTATCAGACACAAACACCAGAGACCTTTCATGGAGGGAAGCCTGTCCTCTACTACCATGCGACTGGCGCAAAAGCCTGGATCCCAAAGACTCAGCGGGGCAGCCTGCCAGTTTTCCCAGCCGACTCGACTGCCTCTGCGCCGACTGGACCTGAAGGCATTGTATTAAACGGAGATGCGGAAGAGCTGATAGAGGAAAGGGTTGAGCTCTTTGTGAACTCCGAGTATGATTATCCCTGGTCGTCTCTGCAAAGCTGCCTGCTGACAAGTCTAGGAACTTGACCATTTTCAGCCCCAGTTCCGAATCCGGCGTGTCAATACCATACCCATCGATTACACTTCATGCTACAAAGACCATTGGTGCGGGAGAGGAGAAGTACCTATCAGTCTATATGCAATTGGAGCTTTCTGATGGCGGTGCCGACGATGAGACGTTCGAGACTGTGGACTTGACTATCATTCCTCCCAATACATCCACCTCGCTTACCTCGCCTGCCGAAGACGGCGCCCCAGTTCAGACAGAGACAGAGAAGCTCTTCAAGGCCATCTCAGAATGCTCTAACCTGAACCCAGATCCAGTCAATGAGGAGGATGAGGAAGAGTACGACGATGACAGAATAGTGTTCGAAGGAGATCAGGAGGCGATTGAGGGTTTCAGCGGTGTCTTCAGAGGTGCTGCTGATGGAGGTTTGCCGCCTCCAATGCCTGGTAGCTCTGGATGGATCACCGCTGATAATGTCCACGAATACTTCGACGCAGATGGCAATTGGATCGGAGAGGAAGGTGTCAGCGGGGAGCTTGGCGAAGGCGCCGGAAGAGTGCGTGACCGGGACGAAACCGAAGCAGATGGGGTTAATGGCCACGACAACGGTGTTGACGGTCATAGTAAGCGCCCACGAACGGAGTGAAGACCCAGTGCTTGCGTTTGTAACATAAATTACGACTTTTGACGAGGCAACCGGTTGGATGATCAGGCGTGCTGGGTTGGAAAGGAGTGAGTATCATGTTCAGCTGACTCTATACCTTATTGTTGACTTTCCTAGTGCTGTTATTACAATTTTAAGATCAGTAGTTCACCAACATAAGGTAGTGGCATCTGGCCTTGGGATACAGTATCAGGTATCACAATTTTAAAAGGTTGAACAATTAGAAGACAGGGGACATGTTCAGTCATATGCCAACTAAGATACTTGCTTGACTGGAGCCTCAGTTCTATGGTGGACCACGGCAGTGATGATCGCTATCGCTAGTTCATCATCAACCCCGGTTGGGTGTGCTGAAGCACATGCCGAGATCTGACATCCGCACCACCACCTACCACATAAACCTTGCAACATTCCATCAAGTCTTCGGTAGCCAGGTCATGAGTATGTTCAGGAACGAATCGAGAGATTGGAGAAACTGTGTGAAAGATATGGTGTGTTGTTCTGCTGGGCTTGTCGTCTAGCGATGCTTCTGAATAGAATTTGGATGCTACTTCACATTAGCCACGATCTTTTGATGGCAGGAAGAGCGTTGTAGAAGAACTCACCTCTCGTAGATCTCTTCTGGAGTCATAAATGCCTGCTTGATTGTGGTTAGGGCCCTGTAGTATCGCCTGCGGCGCTGGACTGGAGCGTAGGCTTTCCGCCATCGAATGAGATGTGGGTACTTGTGAACCATTGACCTGCGTTGGCGCATGATTATGACGATACCTTGCAAGATTCGGGAAGGTCCTTGCCAGCAACTGTGTCTGATCTACCGAATCACTCTGCTTGGAGGGTAGAAATTAGGCAGTCCCCGATGTGGTGTGGGATGTTGAGTAGTGAAGAATCCGATGCAAGCCCAAGGGCCCAAAACACTTTGCGGGTGTTGGAGTATCGGTATCTTTATACCAGTGTACGTAACCCGGCTCTATTCCAATTACTTCTCTCTTCGATATGGTCGAAGAAAGACACAAGTGTGTTTGAATGGACAGTTTCTTCTGCTTGTGGTGGTTTCTAGGCATCACGAGGTGAAGACAATGGAACACATCCATCTCATTGGGACTGATTCAAAAGATTCTTTGACTCACAGGGCGAAACCAAGAGCCTCTATACTTGAACAATATTCTCTGATTCACTGTCCAAGCTAATTGAGTTAATTATGTAGTCACTTTTCGTCTAATTGGGAAAAGCCTTCATGAAAGGGATTTTCCAACAACAGAGCCTAGGAAGATGATAAAGGCAGCTAGAACCTCTAGAAGACCAATATTTGTGTGTGCCCAGGATCTCTAAATATCAAATTGGGACACCTGGGAGTTGCTGAATACTTGGCAAATCGAACTTCATTGATGCTTTGTTGATAAGATCTTTAGTTCTTCTAAATTAAAGATAGATAACATAGGCCTTTCGAAAATAGACCAGATGATCCGTGAGACACCCAAGCACAGCTATTATTAAACAGAAAATCAGACAATACCTTGAGATAGATACAAATTGTATATGACCTTACACAAACAAATATCTTACAACTATATTTATAGACAATTAGCATATAGGCTAGTAAAGTGACTGATAACTACTTATCAGTGTGGAATGTACACATTGATAAAGGAAGGAGAGTTGGGAGTGAAGGAGTTTGAATCCATGTACTTAATGTGCTGGAGCATTGAGCTAAATCGCATTGCACAGTTTAGAACCAGTGCCTACAAGTAATCAACATGGCAGCACCTATGAACGGTTAAAAATCTTAGATTACACAGCACTGTCTAAGCTGTCATTATATTCATGGGCTGCTATGCTGCTATAGGTACATCAACACCCGACAGCATGGTGTTCTTCTTTCATTTCAGAACTGAGAGCAAGTAATGCCAATGCCTTGTAGATGCTAGACTAGCAAATTCTCGGGAATGCTTAAGCAGCTTTATCCAGGGCGCTCAGTCATCCATTTCGCCTTCCTCAATAATGCTCCCAAAGATGAGGCTCTGAACCACAAGCTCATCGCTCAACGTCCGCACTTTTTTCGGCGGCGGCCCATGATATGTCCCGGTGCCGCCCCTCTTCCGCTTCTTTCCTTCGGCAGTTCTAGCGAGGAATAGCTCGCCTTTGCCTGCTGTCTTCTCATCTACATATACCCAATCGAAAGGCTGACCGGCATCTTCAGCAGCCTTCAGCTTCACCTTTGCCTCATCAATAGAATAGACGCGTGACAGGCAAGCCCCCAGAACACGAGCAAGGAAGACATATGCCATCCTCTTGCTCTCCCCTGATTTCTTCATGATGAGTAGAATCTTGTTCCCTTCCAGGAGCATCGTCCTGCGATCCACGACGTCGCATAGTCTCGCTGACTTGGCATCATAGGGGGTAAGGTTGCGTGATCGGATGGCATCTCCAAGGAAAGAGGATACACCAGCGCAGAGAAGGTAGGGGCTCCAATCCACGATTTCTTGCCTGTCAAAGCAGGTTGTAATCCAGCGAGATGCAATACAAGGCAAACCGAGCGCAAGCGCCTGCATGTACTTGACCTTGCGTGAGTGGCCGTCCGCAATCAGCGCGGTGAACCCCCCAGATGCTGCGCCAGATGTCAGCCTGAGCTCATCATCTGGCTGTGATGCAGTGGGACTATAATCTGCGCTGTTGATGGGCGACGCTTCGAAGAGTTCATCAAAACCCTCAGCGAGGACTCTGCCTCCGCCTTGTTGAATCTTCTTTTCTACCGCTCTGGCATGCTCCATTCTCTCATTATACTGGTCAAGGTTCTCTCCCGTTCTCTTGGACTGGAAGGAAATCGCGAAGGACATTCCTTCAAAGATCATAGATCCACGACTGCTCTGTTCACGAGACCCAGGTTGCCCTTTCGTGAGAGCTCTACCAACTCTGGAATTTCTCAAGGCATACTCAACTGGAGGCGTTGCGGGAGGGGAACCTGCAAGTTCGTCGGTTGAATGATCTTGCTGCATCTGCTTCCTTGTCAATCGAGTTGACGTCCTAAGAGATTCGACTGTGCTCGTCTTCGGTTTCGGCAGAGTATCAACAACCTCTCTGCGGCGAACTTTTGCGACTGCTGGAGACGACTCAGCTACCACAGCTTTTAGGCTATTCGACCGTCTGGTTGATGCGGAATCCTGTGTTAAAGGAGTGGTTTTGTTAGAGAGCGCCGGTGTAGTCGATAAGCTGCTCAACATTGATGTAGAGCTCAAGACCCCAGCAGGCGCGGAGCTGGAAGGTGCTACTGGGGTACGTTTCCCTGCCGTTGAAGCCTTCTGAACTCGTGACTTGGCTCTCGTTCGTAATGCTGGAGGCGATGATCGTATTTCTGGGCTCTGTGACAGATCTCTCCCTTGCTTTTGGCTTGAGAGATCCTCATGCATACTACAATCAAGGTCTTTTACTATGGACCCAGGCGAGTGAACATCACTGGCGACGTGTGCTCCATCAATGACTCTATCCTGAAGGTGGCGGGCAAGTCGATTCAGACTCGAAGCAGAAGACTTATGCGACATGTTTGATGAGCTTTGTGTTAGATCTTGTTCCGATACATTGCTCGGCATCGTAGGAAGCGAGAGAGGCTTGGACGAGATGCTAGAAGCCTGTCTCAGTATGTCACCAATAGCTCTTGGGCGAGCGTCAGCTGGGCTGGTCTCAGGTATGGCATCTCCGTTACTCTCCTCGGCAGAGAGGTGTATTATCGGGCCTGGAAGACTGCTCGCGGTGACTTCTCGCGTTAGTTTAAACGCCGTACTAGAGGAGAGCTCAGTAGCAGCTGCTGCGGCGACTTCATTTGAGACGGCCGGGGATCGAACAGACTCCTCAAAACCAGCTGCTTCGGTTATGATTTGATCCGGCATGAGCTGCTCCTGAGAATCTGCAACAGTTTCCTGGGTCTCATCGTCCTTATCTGACTTCCCACGACACTGCGCAACATATTCTTCGGCTGGCGTTCGTGATCTTGACTTTCCCTTCTTGTTTGTTGATGGCACCTCAACATCTTCTGGCAAAGACGCAGAAGGGCGATTGAAATTGATTGATGATAGATGTCTCTCTGCCTCGGCTTTCTTCGATCTAGCACGTCTTCTGCGGTTGTTCTCATCATCGCTAAGGTCTTCGACAGATTCGGTGGGTGATGTTTGAAGCTCTAGCGTCTCCCTTCTTTCTTGAGATTTCCCCATTGGCTCGTACACGTCTATAAGTTCAGGGCCAAGTCTTCTCTTAAGAGGCTCATATTGGGGGGATTGAGAGATCAATGGGTCATTATTGATTACTTCATGGTGGGGAGTCTCCGGTTCATCAACAGGGCGAGATGATGCGCTGAATGGCACTTGGGGACTGGTCATGTTGGCGGTTAATGGTGATGTGCGAAGTCCGCGCGCCTTCAACGGAGATGATATGATTGGGTTTGGTGATATTGAGTTATTATGAAAATCATTTGGTGACGGCCTCGAAGATGTCGGGCTGACATGTCGGAAAGCTGAAGAAAACTGTGTCTGCCTAAACATCTGAGAGCCCCCTAGAAGCGTGGCCGGATTCCGCGCTGCGAAGGGATTCTTCGGTGGTGCTGGGGTTTCTGGTGCATCAACTAATGGCCATCGAGGATGATCAACAGCGGTTGAATCGAGACCTGCGGATGTCTCAGGGGCTGACACTTCAGTGTCATGACTTCTCAAATTTTCGAAAAGACCAATGCTAAAATGAACAGCTCCAGTGTCATCCTCATTGAGAGTTCTATGCCCAGGTGAGGTGCCGTGAGACGGACTCGGTGACGACCTGTCGAAGTTCTCGATAAGGGCCGTAGAGGGTAAATTATTTTCAGCAAATGAAGAATGACGGTATTTTTCATAACTCCGACCATCATTCGACTGGGTCGGAGACTGCTGTGACGACTCCATCTTCCTTGGAGCAAGAAAACTTGACGGCGGCAAGCCTGGAATTGTGTCGACTCTCACCAGCGGATTGGGGCTTTCAACAGGCCGTTCAGAGTGATCAACGCCGCGACTTGAAATACCACCATCATGCAGATCTAAAGGCGATGAACACACCTCACTGTCGGCATCATCATTATGAGAAAAGCCGTTTGTTAGGCCATCGTCATCTCCCTGTTCAGATTGGTCGGCGTCTTTCAACCCTCCAGTGAGCGTGGTTGAGGGTGCTGAAAGGTGGGAAGCGCGACTGGCGTCAACAGTGGCCCGAGCTCCGTGATCCTTGCCTTGCGCAAACGCCACATCAGGACCGGGGTCAGAGTCGCCCGGTCTACCGAGTTGCGGCTTTCCCACCTTCAAAGTGCCGGAGCCAACAAATCGCTGATATACTTTATGATGGTGTGCTGGCTGGGGGAAACTGACTGGCAGCAAGACAGACTTAGCACCAGCTGCGAGCTGCGCACTGTCTTCAGGGATTGGCGAACTGCTTCTCAAACCGATGCCGTACTCTGATTGCCAGCGTGAGACAACGAGCTGAGAGTCCTGTGACTCGTTTTGTCCCTGGAGAGCCTTGTTCTCAGCCTCCTCAAGGGCCTTGTCGGTGTGCGGAGCCATGCCTGGAAAACGTGGAGGATGATGACATGATCAAGCCGGACGTCTTTGGCCCTTGGCGGGGAATTTCACCAGAACACCAGGCAGAGAGCGGATCGAGAAGGAAAATAATCCCTGATGGTCTGGGTCCAGATCCAAATGGAGGAACGCGTCTCAATCTAAACCTGCCAAGCTGGTGAACAAAGAGTCTCCTCATCTACAATTTGAAGTCCTCCAGTCGGGAAGGACACGCGAAATCACGTGGATTGAATTCACGTGACTCTGTTCGAGAAGCTGTTAAAGAAAAGTGTTGGCGGGATGTTTGGCCATGAGTTTTGGTCAGGTGGCTGTTGATTGGATCGCAATTTCGCGAGGCCGGGGTCCTTCCCGTTGAACATCCTTGTACCTCGCATGATCCACGCATTTGTTTCCTCTTCTCCTATTCTCGGCCACCAGCTCCTTGTCCAGCCAGCCCAGTCCTTGTCTGTCCATTTCCCCGTATTACGCAGTCTGCTGTGTGGTTAATGCACTCATCAATCAGATCGCCTTAATTGTTCAGTTATTTTCCTTCCAGAAGAGTGTACCTTGACTGAGGTGGTATTCAAGCGTTCCGACCGCGTACCCTCCATCAACGCGCATCACATTCCCACCGTGTCGGTCCATTTGCCTGCAATCGCATCGCAGGTTTCGACGCGCCTTTTCCTTCACAATTGAATCCGAAGCTACCGAGAACTATCGCCTTGCGCCCCCAGATCGTTTCTCTAACGTTAGTGTCCTGAACAGCCTCCCATCATCCCATCTTCTCTTCTCCAACTCCACATGGTCAAAGCGGTTTCCGTAGCATCAGAATTGGCGGTGGAGCAGTAACAAGCAGGGGTCCTCGAGCAAGGCCAACAACAATAATCTTGCAGACGAAATGACCTTCATCACACCATACTTAAATCGACGTTGAGCTGCCCTGACAAAGACCCTGCGGTTCCAGTTTCCTTTTCCCCTCCGACTCCTGCGAAATAGGAATCATTGGCTGTTTGGACGGTGGTTGTCTGTCCTGTTTCCACATTCACCCTATTCTCCCTCCGGCCCCAGGGCTCGCATTACGTCTCTCTCCTCCAAAGCTGTCCGTCAACCAGCACGGAACTGATATCACACAGTATAACTGCTCCACTTCCAGGTCTCGCTTCAGCCTGAACGCTCATTTGGAGAGAGACCCCGTTGTTATCAATTGCGCCGGGAACTGCGTTGCGACAGGCCTGTCCACTTACATTGCGCCTCAGCGGTCTTATTATTACCTGCCAGCTGCTACCCCTGCCTAGCTCTCAGGGCCTCGCAGATACACAGCACCAATGGTCGGGGCGAGAATGGTTGCGTCGCCACACCTCCTCCCCTAAAAACAACAAATTCAATCTCGAACTTTCCTCCATGAATACAGCCTTGCTTCTCCAAATTTGCTTTCTATCGACTTGCTCCAACACTCTTTTCAACGAGAAGCAGCTGAACCTACTCAAAGCCTTTGTCATTGCTAGAAGAACCACGACGTGCGGGAGACACCGCCATCGGCGAAACAACAGTGCTCCATCCGGTCCTTATCATTACAGAAGACGTCGAGTCTCAACCCTGACCTGTCGCCCAGCATTTTTGCAACAGGTCTCACACTCGTTTGCACTTGCGAAAGTCTCGTCTGCTCGTCAATCAGCAAGGAGCCGTCGCACCCCCGTAGATCGGGCTGTTCTAGACTGGGTGTACGCTTTGCACGCCGAAATGGATGACACTTTACCTCAACCTGCTCCTCCTCCGATGCCCCATATCAGGGCTGATGACAATGAGCACTCGTACATAGAGAGGAACCTCCCTGCGGAGACTATGCCACCGCCTCCGCCGCCGGTTTCTGCAGATGAGCATGACGACTCGCGCTCGTCCTTCGACACTAGGTCCACGCGGTCGACCTCATCTGCATCGCGAAACACAAATAGGCTTTCTCTGACCTTGCCAATTGCTCCGCCAACGGCCTATCCCACACGTCCAACACCAACTTCTTCGGTTATGTCCTCGTATCCGCCTACTCCAATTGAGACATCCAACGTGACGTCTCCAACTGACTCGAACGATTTCATCATTGCGATAGCAGCGCAGGAGCGACGAGTCTTGGAGCTGCGCGAGGATCTTAAGAGTGCCGAAGCAGAACTGACAAGGCTCAAGAAACAATGGGCTCAGCACGAAGCGTACAAGAAAAGACACGAGATCAGGAAGGCAGAGCCTCTGCGCACCGTTTCTCACCAGACGCCAACAGCAGATGGCGAGGACACTGAAATCTCAAAGCGAAGCGTCGAGCTTGATAGGCGCAAGGCGCTATTGCTCGGTCAAGCAAGCAATCAGGGAACCCCGAATTCGGGTAGAAGGCGGGTCATTCGAGGCGGGCACACCCGTGCTCTGTCTCTTCTATCACCTACCAAGACAGAAGATGGATTTGCTGTGCATGAGGACACTCCGGAGGGGTTCAAGCCTCTGGTGAAGGACTCGGAACCACACTTCCAGCACCTGGCTAGAACTGGGCCGGTCACTCCAGCCCAGCTTGCAAAACGAGCGTCATGGGCTCCTCGCTCTGTACGACCTGCGAACCCCAGCGGCGTCAAACAAATTGCAGAAGATTTCAAAGCGGGACTTTGGACTTTTGTAGAAGATCTCCGGCAGGCAACTGTTGGAGACGAGCCCATTAATGGTGGAGGTATCCCTACACGTGGTATTGATGGACACATACGGTCTGGCTCAAGAACGCTGTTTGGCGAAGACCAGGACACCATCAGGGCATCGACCAGCAATGCTCGGCCCCATGTAGCCAATGCATTCAGTGACACACCTACTCCGGCTTCTCGGTTCACGGACGTAATGTCTAAGGATGCAGAGGGTGGTGATAATAAGCACCAGCGATCTTCCTCCAAGGCTTTCACGAAAGCTAACAAACGCTTCTCCTGGACGCCCCTAACCGTGGACTCCTATGATGACAACGACTGGTCCAACTGGGATAGCCCGACCGTCAATTCACCACGATGGAGCGGTACCACTGTGAATGGCGACATCATTCCCAGCATCCCGGAAAAGAGGGACGAGAATGGGACGCCTCTGTAAGCAGCCCTCGCGCCTTTCATCCAAGCGAAACCAGCAAGACACTAACGCCTATCCCATCTAGAAAAAAGATGTCTTCGGCAGAAGATTATCCTTCCGTCCAATCTCCATCCGCCCTCAAGCTTGAAGAGTTGTCTCTCGGCGTGCTTAACAAGCTCACTCCCGGCAACATCAAGCGCACCGCTTCCGACTTCATGAAGGAGTGGGAGAAGAGCCTGTCTCCGCCTCCCGAGCCAGTGGGTTTTGGGTCCAAGGAGAAGGGCATGTAACGTGCTCTGTACGACTATCTGCGCATTGTAAACTGGCGGTAATAGACAAAAATAACCCGAAAACAGGACACAACAAGCATCATTTTGCATATTATAGAGGAGGAGCACCTGCGGTGCAATTACGGCTGTACGATACCATGCCCCAGGGCTATGATATTTTGGCGAGGATGAGAAGAGCGTGGGGATGAAAGCGGGTGCCAGTGCCTTGAGCCTCCGTCTGAGAGACCCGACAATCGATTTTGGAGCAGCTCGTCTGTTTCAATCATGAGGTACGAGATCTTGGGCTGGGCTGTTTTGTGGCAAGTCGATGTGATGTGAGGGAAGTTTGGGATTTTGGCTTTTATGATAATGATGATAATGACGAACGACCATGACGAATGATAAGATCCCAGCATAGCTACGTACATACTCTCTGGCCGGAATATATCAAGCGTTAATGATGAGATACCTTTGCTACTCTTAAACATTGTGAATATCTGCATGTGTGCACGAGGATATAGATGGTATTGATTTGATATTGAAGAAAAGGAATGCAGATTTACCCTAACAGAAACACAGGCACATCGCGGTGGCTCCTTCGAACGAACCCGCCCCCCAAGATTGCAGGTATCTATATGTTCCTTCCGGGGTTTACGTACAATGCAAGTCACCTTAGATAGAGGACACACCGGACCTGTTGCCATTCAAGCCACTCACGCTTTGGGCTGTGCCATAACCACGTCATCTCTACCAGCCAGCCTACTCGTCCATCACAGACGCAAACTTGTCTAACATGGTTTGCTGGATGCCCTCATACTAGAGAAAGTTGTCAGCGCAAGTCACATGAAAAAAAAATAGCACGCGTATGGTCTAGTTCACTAACCTTCTTGCAAATCTTCTCCTCGCCCTCACTCGGCACCTCGAACTTCAAGCTTCGCAGCTGGCCCTGGAGATCCTGGGTAGCCTCACGGACCTTTGCCCAGCTCTGGCCCTGAGCGACAGCCTTCTGGGCCTCGTCGTGGAAGCCCATCATGAGCTTCATCATCCACTCGGTCTTCCAGATGGGGCAGAACTGGTCGTAGTCAGAGTAGCCGTTCTGCTGCAGGAAGTCCTCCTTGAGCAGCGTCGCCATGTCGAGCGTGATCTTGTCGGGGTCGGACAGCGCCGACTTGCCGACCAGCTGCACGACCTGGTCCAGCTCCTCGGAGTCGGATAGTAGCTGCTTGATGCGGTCACGAAGTCTCGGGAACTCAGGGTACTCCTTCTCGTACCACTTGTCCAGGATCATGGTGTACTTGGAGTACGACACGCCAGTGTTGATCGACGGGAAATGCTTTCGCTGAGCCAGCTTCTTGTCGAGACCCCAGAAGACCTGCACGATACCGAGCGTAGAGCTGGTGACAGGATCTGAGAAATCACCACCGGGCGGTGAAACGGCGCCGACGATACTAACACTACCCTCACGCTCTGGCGAGCCTAGCGTCTGGACCTTACCAGCACGCTCGTAGAAGGAGGCGAGCTTGGCACCAAGATAAGCGGGGAAACCTTGGTCCGCAGGCATCTCTCCCAGACGACCGGAAATTTCACGCAACGCCTCGGCCCATCGAGAAGACGAGTCAGCCATCATGGCGACATTCATGCCTTGGTCACGGAAGTACTCGGCAACTGTGATACCAGTGTAGATAGAAGCTTCACGCGCAGCCACGGGCATGTTGGAGGTGTTGGCAATCAGAGTCGTGCGCTTCATGATAGGCTCCTTACGGCCCTCGACTTCGATGGATAGCTCGGGGAAATCCTTCAAGACTTCAGCCATCTCATTTCCTCGTTCACCACAGCCCACGTAAACAATGATGTCACTGTTGGAGAATTTCGACACAGATTGTGAAATGACAGTCTTGCCACAGCCGAAAGCGCCAGGAATAGCAACGGTACCGCCCTGGACACAGGGGAACAGAGCGTCAAGCACACGCTGGCCAACCAGGAAGGGCTTGTTGGCGGAGTGCTTCTCGGTGGTAGGTCGGGGCACTCGGACGGGCCAAGTCTGCATCATGCCGTACTCGCTCTTCTTGCCGTCAAACTCGACCTCCAGGATCTTCTCGTCGACGGTGTAGCTACCCTTGGAGGCAATCTTGGTGATGGTTCCTCGAGCCCGGGGAGGGAAGAGGATCTTGTGGACTGTGATGAAGGAGTTCTCGTAGACGGTACCCCAGACGTCGCCTCCCGAGATATGGTCGCCAACCTTGACGGACGGTGTGAAGTCCCATTTCTTCTCGCGGTCGAGGGCAGGGGCGGCGATGCCTCGCGGGATATAGATGCTCTGGGACATGGAGGAGATCTTCTCGAGAGGTCTTTGGATACCATCGTAGATGTTGTTGAGAAGGCCGGGGCCGAGCTCGACGGACAGAGGCTTTCCGGTTCGGAAGACGGGGTCGCCAACCTTGACACCAGCTGTTATTTGTCAATGTCAGTCTCTTTTATTCTTTTTGATAGCAATAGAGGCTTTGATGTGGGCATACCGGTCTCCTCGTAGACCTGGACAGTTGCCTGATCGGCATTGATTCGAATGACTTCTCCTACTAGCTGATCGTTGCCAACTTTGACCTATTGCCCATTAGCCCCATCCGAGTTTATAAAGACGATAGTTCCAGTGACCGTACCAACTCGTACATAGCAACACCAATCATTTCCTCCGCAACGATGACGGGTCTAGATGTGGTCAGTAAGAGCTCGGAGGTTGCACGAGCTTTGGTGATCGAGAGTTTGGTACGAACCCGGAGACAGAGAAGATCTTGCCTGTACGGACCGAGTTAGTAAGGGTGATGAATTGCAGTGTGTTTGAAGCTCTTACCATGCTGCACAGCGTCGCCGTCCGTTGAGGGTTTCTGCATGTTGAAGATGGAGGTCAGTCTCGAACCTGCGGGGCAACAGCACGGAGCACCTCTCGGTGAGTGAGGGAATAAGAGAAGCTTACCGGAGCCATCTTGGGCGGCGCAATTGGATCCTTTGAGAGCTGTGTATCGGAGGGAGGGGATGCGAGAGGAGTGGTGATAGGCAAAGAGGGCGATGCGAAGTCTGAGGGTGACGTCGGCGCCGATGGGGGAAGCTTTGGTGTAGCTGGAGAGGTTGGAAGAGGCTGTTGCGCAGCTGTCACCACCTCGAGTGCAGGTGGCTCCAAGTCGGACAGGTCGAGAGCTCCCTGGTCCGCTAACGCTAGCAATAGTCCTGTTTCTGTTCCTGTTGCGGGCGATGATGCAGTGGCCGCGGCAGTGGCTGGAGCGTTGCTAACAGTGGGTCGGCCCTCCAGCTGCCTCGAGCTGTTCGGGCTGCTCGCCTTGCAGTGTGAATGTGAGGTTGAGTTTGAGTGCACCAACAGGTCCACCAGAGACGGCCGAGCCTTCAATCTGGGTCGCAATCCAAGCTGCATCCACTCGATTTTATACCGCTCCCTTCAAGACGCTGCGTAAACGTCGAATATAAAAGCAGGTCTCTCTGGTGATGGCGGAGCGTTTAGTGATCGAAGCAGGCAATCTGAGGGGGCGGGCGTTGCTAATAAATGCCCGCACACCCCTGCACGGCCACCTAATCAGACCGCATCTCCAAACGTCGGCTAGAGAGTACGATACGGCTTCGACTTGGCTCAATGCATTGATATATCCGTTGACACTTTCAAGCCTTTTAAGATTTCTTGCTGTTCAATCATTCTTATCTTCAACTATTGGGAGTATAAAGACTGGATAGTCTAGCGTGTCAGACACCCCAGGACTTCCCACAAGAATAAGAGCAATATGCTCGCGGTTGTCAGACACATAACTATGTCATGCTACACGTCTCAAGAAGGTTTCCTTGTTATCAAGAAACTCCCAGCTCTTGATAATTTAGATATCAGGCATTTCTTTCCCGAGAGCGATACAGCTAGTCAACTGATACTTTGGCATGGGCCTTTGTTTATGATTAGCAGAGAAGTATGTTCATTACCGGTAGGTAAGATGACAAGTTGTGGAATGATGGCTCTGATTCAATGTCTACCCATGTGTGAGAAGTATATCATTTCAACTGAGTAGACTTGGTTACAGAGCCAGCCATAGCTATAGCTTCGGGAAATGTTGCCCACCAACTGGATGTTCATAAGAGCCTTAGACCAATTGTTCGATAGGACCTGCACAGCACTACTCGAGATTCCCCGTGACTGGTGCGAGGCTGTGCCTTGCCCGCACAATAATGCAGGCTGCCTGCTGTACGCCCAGTCTCTAACATCTCCTCCTGACGTCGGCTACGACACGTAGCACGATGGCGGAAATAGTTGGGCTCGTTGCAAGCATTACGGCACTCCTCGAATTAACAGTTGCTACATCGTCGTTCTTACGAGAATTGAAGGATGGCCCGAAAGAATGCATGAGGCTGCGGCTCGCTGTTAGATCTACCGAAGCCATCCTCAAGACATTACAGGAGACTGTGGAGGAGGCTCAAGCAGATCCCAAAGACGCATGGTCAAACACCATCGAATCACTGGACGCAACCGAGGGCCCTTTAGAGCAGCTTCGAAGCATACTGAAGTCAATAAAGGATAAGCTTGCGAAGCCTATCACTGGAGCAAGGAAACTCCTTTGGCCGTTCAAGAAGGCTGAGGTCGATGACCTGATCAAGAATCTTCAAGCACAGATGCAGCTGATGAACCTGGCCCTGGAGAACGATCATATTGCCTTATCCAAGGCGATTCGCAATGAAACAAAAGAAATCAAAGACGGTATTGAGCAGTTATCTCTAGCTCAAGCTTCCGAAGAAAAGGATCGAATTTTGGAGTGGCTTACGGCCCTTGACTTCTCAGTTCATCTCAACAACCGCCTGGCTGAGCGACAGGAGGGGACCGGCAAGTGGTTTATTGAGTCACCCGAGTTCACACAGTGGCAACAGGTGGTCGGACAGACACTGTTCTGTCCGGGTTGTCCTGGCGCGGGCAAATCACTGATAGCCTCCGCAGTAATCAACCACTTGATCAATACGCCCGATGACGACAGTGAAGTGGGCATTGCATTTATATTCCTCACGTATCAGCAAGGACAGCAACCGAAAGTCAACGAGTTATTACTATGCATTTTGAAGCAGCTGACCCGACGGCTCAAGAGTGTGCCAGAAACAACCAAAAAGTTCTACATGAAATGGCAAGGAAATCGGCAAAGACCCTCAAAAGGAGAAATCTGTGACGCCATAGTTGCGACGGTGGAACTTTTAGATCGCTGCTTCGTAGTTGTCGATGCTATTGATGAGAAATACGTGATCGACAAGAAAACCTCCTTCGACTTTATATCGTCTCTCAGGTCTGTGCAGGAACGAAAGCCTTTCAATGTTCTAGTGACATCTCGACCAATCTCAGAAATTGCCTCGTGGTTCAAAGGGGAACCTCAGAAGGAGATACGGGCCTATGAAGAAGATATCTTGAGTTATGTGAATAGTCGCATGTCTGGTCCATTTGGCCAAAAACTTTCGAGACACCAGGATGTACAAGACTTGATACGAGCAAGCATTGTCCAAGCAGCCGATGGAATGTAAGTATCAGTGATTATTGTCTTGCTCGTTCTCAGACTCATATGACAAACAGGTTCTTACTTGCTCGTCTGCACATGGACACTCTCGCAAGCCAGCCTTCAATTGGTCATTTGAAGAGAGCCGTCAACAATCTTCCAAAGGGTTCCGAGGGTCTAGACCAAGTTTATTTAGATGCTCTAGAGAGAATCAATGGACAACCTCCTGAGCTTCGGGTCTTAGCAAAGAAGGTATTTTCGTGGCTTGTTGGTGCTCAAAGGCCTCTGGACATCACAGAACTTCGTCACGCTATTGCTATCGAACCTGGATCGAAAGATATGGACGAGGATTTCCTACCAGACGCCGAAACTCTGGATTCCGTTTGTGCAGGACTAGTCACAATGAGATATCTCGCTGCAAATCACTGGAGCGCTCGCTATAAAAAAGCCCTCGGCTTAATCCATTACACTACGCAGCAATTCCTGGCACGGAATCTTCACTCAGAGGAGGTTCATTTTGTGCTTGCAGAGGCGTGCCTGACATATCTATCATATGATACTTTCGAATCAGGACCTCAATCCGGTTTCAGCAAGTATCGCTCTCGTCTAGTCGACTATCCTCTCTACAATTACGCAGCCACTTATTGGGGCGTTCATGCACAGAAAGTTCCAAGCTGGATTGAGTCCCGATTTCGGTCTTTGATCCTAGCATTTTTGCGCAACGAGAGGAAAATCAACGCAGCTGGCCAAGTGCTCCCCCAGTTTGAAATGCACTGCCCATTTTCCTATAAAAGACATGATATATTCATGTCAGCAATGCAGACAATTGCTTATTTTGGACTAAAACAAGCCTTGGAACTGGTACACGAGACTCCTGAGAACTTCGACCAGCTAAATATCGACTCCAAAACGCCGATGTATTATGCCATTAAGAGAGGGTTTTATCACATTGTCGAATATATCTTATCAACAAGTCCGGGCCTAGACCTTGAATCTGCATGCGGGAAAGGGCTTTCCCCCCTGTCAATAGCTCTTGACAATGGTCATATACCCGTAGCTCAACTATTACTCGAGCATGGCGCAGACCCTAATGGAGCCGGAGGTGCACCTCTATTTTATGCGGCTAGTACAGGCAATCTTCCCGCTATTAGAACCTTACTCAGAATTCCTGGCATAGTCCTAAATCCACCAATTCAGCGAACTACGAATGTTTGCTGCTTCGCACTTGCAATGGTCGCCGAGAAAGGCCATTTCGAGGTAGTCAAGATTCTCGCCAACGCAGGGGCTAATCTTGATCTTGCTAGGCCATCAGTCAGTGCAGCTTGCTTGGGAGGTCATGAAGACATCGCCAATTTTCTCATCAGTAAAGGTGCGAGTACCAGCCAAGCCCTGTTCGGTGCGGTATCAACAGGGCTTTTGCAAATTGTTGAGCTTCTACTGGCGAAGGGCTGTGATGTCCACGAAATCTTTGACCTTTACGACAACGGCTCGGTACCAATGCATGCAGTTCAGCATGTTTTCATTCTGGATAGACTGATTATGGCTGGCGCTGGCGCTGATCTTGAACGAAAGAACAGATGGGGCCAAACGCCATTGCTCTGTGCGTGTACCTGTGGTAACGTGGAAGTCGTCAAGCGCCTGCTCGAACTGGGTGCGAATGTCAATGCAGAGGACATCTTTCTACGAACCCCTCTCTCGGTTGCAGTTGAACATGATCAATGGACTATACTCGAGCTGCTTCTGACCAACAAAAGCAAACATCAATCACCTGGCTGATTTCGGACAAACACCCCTCATGGTATCTGTAGAAAAAGCAAATATTCATATTGTAGAGCTCCTGCTCCTCCATGGAGCTGATCCAAGCATACGTTGCACAGATGGCCAGCTTCCTATGGAAGCTGCAAGGGAGCTAGTGCCTTCGCAAGGGGCAGAAAACATAATTTTACTTCTCGAAGAGTATATGAGCTCACCCGAGGGACAACGATCCTCTTGCGTGTTCTAATCTATCATATGACGGCAACTTGGCGGGCAATGTCAATAAGTTGATAATAAGCAAATATGGCCGGTAAGTCCTAGTTATTACAAATTAAACGATACAAAATAAAATCAGAAGCATTGGGGCGAAATTTTATACAGCTACTTTGCTTCAAGTTCAGCTCGATTCGTTATATCAAGAACATGCGGCGAGAGGAATGCCATTCTAGCTCCATGGGTAATTAGCAGTTGATTATAAACACAACATACTGCCTCATTTGCAGTGCTCTGAGAAACTCTAATCTAAGCCATCACCCTCTTCTCGAGCAGTTTATTTTCAAGTAATTCTAACATATCCTTCCTCACCATCAAACTCGCCAACGCCGACCTCGCAACCGAAACACCACACTCATCCACATGCCCAGCCGCTCCATCCTCCTCCGCTCTCTTACTGAAATGCACACCCGGTGTCGGCGTCACGCAATTGTCCTGCGCCCTCCCGCTCTGCAGCTCGCATATCTCCAGTGTCGCGCACGAGCCCGTGCAAGACTCTACATCCCAGCCGCGGCTCTTGCGTGCGTAGTACTCGTTGAAGGCGCTTGAGTCAGCTGCCAGCGCGAGGGTTACGTTGTGCCAGAAAGCTGGGGACAGCTCTGCGGATGCCTCCGTGACGGGTGGTGAGACTAGGGATCCATATGCTTCCTTGGCGGAGTAATACTTGGTCCAGACGGGGCCGGTTGTCTGGTAGGATGGATTGGTCATGTCTGCAATGTAAGTGACTGAATCCAAGACGGCGAAGCTAACTGGGTCGACATCGTAGACGCGGAAGGCTGGGTGGCCTGATGTAGGCGTCAAGGACGGGGCGATGTAGGAGGTGACCAGGGCGTTTGAGTAGTTTCTATTAGTATAGGAGGAATAGTGAATCTCGAAATGGTCCACATGAGTATGGCCTTATACATTTCAGTCTTAATACACAGTCTGTTATTATGGGATTGGCTGAGAGCTTACCAAAGAACATAGCCGCAATTGTGGAAGAGTAGCGGTTGACAATCTGGTCAAAATAATTCGACCTACGACAGTCAGCATCAACCAATAAATCGCCGCTCGACCACGGGAGAGTCCGTTTAGCTTACCCATCATGAAAAGTGTCCGAAGTGCCCATAGGCATATGTCCAATAATATACACTCTTTCTCCTGACTGCTCGCTGGCATCTAGCTCGCTGACAAGCCACGCAAACTGTCCGCTGGGATCTTTCTCCATGGTCTTCTCATACAGCCAGTAATTCTGGACATAGTACATATTCGTGCTGAGCGAGATGACCTTGAGGTTTCCATCAGCATACTTGACTGAGTATGCACCAAAAGACTCAGCCTCCGCCGCATCGGCAACTCCAAGCCATCGTTGCCATGCGGCCGACAAGAGGTTGTACACCCACTGAGCCTGGTTTCCCACGGCGGTCGGGGGAAATGCGTTTGTGGGCGACATCTCGTGGTTGCCAGCCGTGCCGTATACGAGATTCAGCCCTGCAGATGCCATACGATTGTAGGCATCATTGATATCTAGAGTATTCTGCGCTTGAGTCGTGTTCCAGACGGCATGGTCCACGATATCACCGGTGAAGATGGTGAACGCAGCATCCGGTACGATAGACTTGATGGCCGCATACATGCTATCCTCTAAGCTAACCGGGACATCGCAGTTATGATCTCCATTAGGGCCGGCCGGCGCGTCCGTCTGTCCCGGTGAATCGTCTGCGCTATAATTCCGGCAGCAGATCGGCTTCGTGCAGTTCGCATTCGACCCCGCCACGTAGAAGGGATCAATGTGAATATCTGAGTAATGAACTACCTTGATCGGTTCCTGTCCGCTGGGCGCTGGGCGTCCAGTGCTTGGCTTCGCCGACGGGAAGGTGATGGTATTCGGGGTGACATCAGGATAGCCGCAGAGCCCTAGAAAAGTCACGCAGAACAGTTGCGCAGTCTTGGAGCCAATGGTCATCTCCCGGAGGTCGTGTGCGATGACGGGACCCTCGAGCGCAATAGATCCCTCACAGACGTCATCATCCTCGGCCTAGGTGAAGAGTCAACTACGAAATTCACACGTCGAAATTGCTAGTTGACTTACTCCAGAGAGCTTGCAAACTTCTGATACTATCGAGACGAAAGCATTGTCACCCAAAAGTGCCACTCCCTTCAAGAGCACTAAGACTGCCTATCATGATTGTCAGTGTTTTGTTGGAGATCATTCAGCGAACCTGGCAAGCTGTACAGTCTGCAGCATTCACGATTGCATCCCAGATGTCATCGACGGTGCTCCTCGCTGTCACTTCACTGACAGAACCTTCTGCGACTTGCAATGCCCTCTCCTCTAGTGAGCGCTCTTGAAGAGCTATACCTGCGACACCTAGACCCAGAGAAAGAGTAACAAGTGAGTGAAGGGGACGCATGATGAAAGCCGAGAAATTTTATCAATCAAGCGATTGTCGGCTGATCCTAGCAATCTTCGAATAAGTCCGGGGATCAGTCGCCCGATCTGACTGGCATGCCGTGACTGAGCCTCCCAAGCAACATTGCGAGTGGCGATGGCCAGTTTCTATAGCTTACCGAAGATGAAAAGCCGCGGACCACCGATTGTCACCTTGAGCCATTTCACAGCACAACGAGATAGTGAGGAGCGGCCTGAGTAAACGAGGCTTGAACGCGTCCCCGCCGCACCTGCATATTCTCCGCAGCATCGCGCAGGGCCTTCTCGGCACCAAGGCCAATAGCATCATCAAAAGAAGACATGCGGATCCTCTTCTGGAAGGTGTGCCGTTGAAAGGCGGGCTGGTGGACTCCGAGCTGGCCGGGGATCGTCAGTGGCTTGCGCGCCCATATCGGCGGCAGGAGAGGAGTACAGCATCTATCGTGAAGGAATCAAGCTTTTGGGGGTTGCTCTCGGTGTAGAGATTGGGCCATGTTCCTCGGCTCATGGACGTGATCGACATGCCCCAGTCCGAGACTGCAGACGCGGAAGACTCGTTGGAGCACTGCAACACGTGGGAGCTGATTTATTGAACGGTGAAAGATGATTGGCTGAATACGGCGGCACTTCCAAGTCCAAGTCGCAACGAGGACACCACCCCACCTCTGATTAAAGAGATGGAGTGCGGAGACAACACCAATCATTCTAGGAGACGTCATGGGGGCTCTCAGAAATTGCTATAGTATAATGGACAAGTAACGCCGGTAGATCACCTAGCTCATGTAGCAACCGTTGTAGAAATTATGAGGAATTGTCTCTGAGAAGAACCCTTAAATTGTGGAAGAGCCTCATATCTGTGGATCTGCTAGACATGGCTTCACGTACCTTTCACATCCAACTTCGAATATGCGACTCCTTGGTTACCTTTGACCCTCGATTTAAAACTTGGAGTTTGATGCCAATTCCCCCGCAAATCACATGCAACTAGCCAGAGGAGCAGTTGCACGATTTCTTGATACTTCGACCAAGGCTTTTGATTTATAAATCCAGGAAAGGCAGGCCATCCCTCATCCGGGCCGTGCTGCGGCTCAAATCTCTTGGACCTTCCGTTAAGGTACTGAGAGCGACGTTGCTATAATCTATCTGCTTTTGCTGCCTTAGTGGCCAAGCTTGTTCGTATTGCCAAAGGCGAGTGAGTTCCAAACAGTTGAGGTAATTACGCCATCATTTGAATTCGTAGCAATTTCAGACTACCAAAACGGACGATCCTCTTCCTAGATTTATAATCGTGTCAAAAAATCAACAAGCAGGCTTCTGAAGAGCGATAAGAAACCGGAACTTGTAACTGCCCCCCCTGTTGATTGGCAGGCTGGTCCGGGACGTTCCAACGCGTAAGCCCTCGTCTTGCGTTTGATCGGCTCCGATCTCACAAAAGCTTAACACGGATCAATTCCTGGCCGCCACTGCGATCTACAGCCCGTCAGAAATTCCAACTTGTGTCCTGTCACATTGGATCATCGAGGTCATCGAGGGCTCGCCCCTGTAGTGTGCTGATGATAATTCTCTTTAGTCGGAATTTAGCATAGGTATGGTTCTTGCGCCGACGAAATTAGTGACAAATTTGCTAGTAAGAAACACAATGATCTGGGACTCTCGTACCAAGTCACAATCACATACATTTGGGAGCGCTGAGTTGATCTTTCAAAGATTCATCGTTTAGGCCTTTCGGCCAAGGCATCTTCACTACCTAATCTGCCTCATTCAGAGGGTATCTGTCTCTTCTCTCGTCACCTTCCTTTCTCCCACTCTCCTGTGTAACATAGAAAACAGTAATAAAACTAGAACAAACAAGTAGATATCTCCCGCTGGCGCAAGAAACTCCTCAACCCCGGGGGAATATATCAATATAATGGTATATACAGGCTATCTAACCTAGTATAGGTAGCCAGGAGAAGTGAAAAGAAAAGAATAAGGTATTTGGTCATCCCGTCTAAAGTTTGCCGGCCGTTTCCCCGTCGATACCAAGAGGCCATCTCAAGGTAGAAGATATAGTGGTCCTCCTGTCTCTGTAGATCCATGCAGACACCATCTCCCCGAAAATGCTTTTGTAGATTTTATACTGCTCCTTTTCAGCGTCCAGTCCCCAAGGGGCGGATGCTGGCGCCGAGTATGGCTGCTCTTACGAGATGGCCAACACCAAGGGACCAGCCATGATGATGCTGTCCGTGAGCTTGCCATCCAAGGGGCCAGCACTGGCCAGGTTGACGTAGACGGTGCCGGCAAGGTTCTGAGGGATCTGGCATCCAGCGGCCTCGGTGAAGGGGGTGAAAGCAGTGCCTCCTGGGATGCCACCAGCGGTGAATGCGCAGAAGGTTGCACCGGCTGCGGCAGTGGATGATAGCACCAAGGTGTCGCCAATCTTGACAGCGGCATCGGCAGCTGGTGAAGTCTGCGTCAGGGTAGGGAAGGCAGTCAGGATTAGGTTGCTGCCGTCGGGGCAGGAGGAGATGAAGGGCGCGGCGAGCGAGAACACCTGCTGGGGAGACAGCGGGGTGTCAAAAGGGCTCGGGGCGGCAGCGAGGCCGGCGGCAGCACGGATGAAAGTCTGGTGACGCGCCTCGATGGAGAAGATAGAGCCAGCGGTGGCAAGAATTGACGAATCGGACAGGATGGGTGCGGCACCGAGGTACGCGGAGACACCAACCTGCTCGAGAACTGCGGCAGTAGTGACCATGGCCTTGGCGTCCGCAAAAGCGGCATCGAAGTTGTATGTGCAGGGCTGGACGGGCTGGATGCCAGCCTGTGCGAGGGCACCCTGAAGCAACTCAACGTGGGCTGCCTCAGAGGCGCCAATGTTGAGCAGGTCGTTTACTTGCAATTCGCTTAGGCCAAGAGCAGTGAAATCTGACGCTGGGAACTTGGCGAAACCTTGCTGGTAGAAACTCGTCTCGAGCCACTCCAATGTTAGGGCGCTGTTCCGATGTGTTAGTCCTTAATTCCTGCCAATGGCTGCTGTGTCTGGCTTACAATTGCAGAACGTCGAGATCTGTGATGCCCAATGCCTGCTCTGCTGCCGACTGGCGCTTCATAACCTCGTGGATCTTCATCTGGTTGGAGGTGAATCGAGGATGCGATGGGAGAGCGGTGGCAACGGCGGCCAATCCTGCCACAATGGCGGTCTTCATAATGGAAGGCATCTTGACTGATTAGATCTTAAGTATCTTTTCCTTTCTTTTCTGATCGACTCTGGTGTAGGTAGAGGAGGAGGTTGAGCAGTGACCGGCAACTCGTTGTGGTGAATGAACGTAATAGAAATGGAAGAAGCAGCGTAGCTGTTTCTTGGTAGGCCCGCCTGGGTTGTTGATTAAAGTGGTATTAAAAGAGAGAAGCCAACGAGAGAGACAGACGACTATCCAGCAGAAAAGGAGAGTGAGTGGAAACGATGATCCCACAAAAGCAGACCAGCGCTTTGTTATAAAGAAGGCAAGTGGGTGGTGGTGGACAGGAGTGAAGGAGAAAGAGGTGAAAACATGAGACGAGGAGGAGAGAAACGGCCGAAGGTTTATTAAAGAGAACTTCCTGGCCCTGGCAACTCTGCCAAGCGGGAGGGACTGCCAGGTGGGGAGCCGTCCACGGAAGGTCAGCTTGCCGTAGCCGGCTACTTCGAGTTCCCTCTGACCAGCAATGCGGGATATCCAAGCTCAGGGCTAATAAGCTTCAGACCGTGGCCCGGGAGAACAGGAAGAGCAAGGGCACGCACAGGGGCTGTCCTCCGTGGGCCTGGGGGAGTTCAGATGGCACTCATCTTGATGTTTCGTTTCCTTCGCGCCCTTTCAGGCCCTGTGAGAGGTCGAAGGAAGGTCTTGAGGCTCGGAAGAGCCAATGAGGAGGGTTCCAAACGAAACAAGGTTGCGTTGACAGGCCCCTAGGCTTGCGGATGGTGCAGCATAGCGCCGCTCCCACGCCTCCGTGTACAAGGTCCGGCTGTCCTCGTAGAGATGGTACACTCGGTACAGTCGAGGATGTAAGCGGGAGAGCAGCCAGGAGTGCCACAGCGCAGCCTTGGCAGGGTCAATTGCAAGTCGGCTCGCCAACGGACCTTGCGTGCTTGACAGGGGCTTAATTAGTGGGGGCCAGGCCGGGGTTTCGCAGCATTTGGCGGGCTCTGGCAGTCAACGGCGTTGAGCTGCAGTGTGCGGCAGGGCGCCTGGGCAGGGGTGGCACGGGGCTCGGCTGGGGTTCTCTGACGAGCTGCTGTCTCAACCTCGTTTCGGCCAGCGGACCGTGAGAGAGCCGAATCTCCAAAACTTCAGAGCCAAGTGTCCCTTGCGACAGCAGCCCACTCTCGCTTATCACTCATGCGGAGCTGTCTAGACTGTAGTCTATAGAGTAAGCTTCTTTCCTGACTCTCTGTCAATCCGTTTCTAGTGTAGTGTCCCGGAAGAGACGAGTAGCAGATCGTGTGTAGAGCTCGCAGCCGACGGATAGAGCCCTGTCATGGAGCCGGATCTCTAATGAAGGCGAAAGGAATAGTTTGGAAAGCCCGCAGCCTTGTCGCAGTTTCTCGGATCAAATCATAGTCGCAGGGATGACCATGCTGAAAAGGCTTCCTCCCACGTTTCCATGAGCAAGACTCTTAACTCATTTCACCTCGATATCTCCATGATCAGAGTTCTGGATCAATGTCTCACTTGTTACCGCTGCTAAGCTTCGAGATTTGGTGATGTGCGGTCTCCTCGGTGTACATCCGCTGAGGGGCCTCGACCATCCTGTCGTGGACCCTTGGCGATGTCTTGGAAGGATGAGCATCGTACATCCTGTACATGCAATGCAGTCTGGCCTTTCCGAAGACCTCCAGAAAAGACGCCCGGTGGCCATTCTTCTGATCCTGCGAGTTTGTACATACGTCCAAATTGAGCCGTACTAGTCGCTGCGACCGTCTTCTCATTGGCCTAGACTCTGTGAAGAGCCTTGAAGCTTGCTCATAAGAAAGCCACGAGGAGGACGACGAAACAAGATGGTCGATCTTGTGGCGGCGTGTAGGTCGGTGCGCCGTGTTTTAAGGGGACACCGGGGGCCGACGAGATTGGGAGGGCGACTGAGGTCTTCGTGTGCAGCGTCTCCCTGCAAACTTAGGCTCTAGCGTCGCATCTTGTATCTGGGATTGGATCTTGGTTGCGATCTCGTGTTCCCCCTGCCAAGACCGTTTAATTGACCATTTGGATGGTTGGCAAGAGGTGATGCGGCCATATGGCGAATGGAAGAGAGATGGCGGAGGTATAGTTAGAGGCAGGTAACCGAGATAGATACCTGATAGATTACAGTGGAAACTGGATCACGGCCGCTGACGGCAGTCACGTAGCCCTCCTACCTATCCAGGAAGCCGCAATGCAAATACAGAGTTACCGGTAGCAGCTTCTATTTTAGCTTTTACCAGGGGCAACTGGCGGCGTTTTTGGACGCGAGATATACCTGGGATAATTTCACCTTAATCTTATTCTCCCTACCTGATCCTGGGATATGTCTGGGTTATACTCTTCACTTCCAAGAACCCCCGGGCGTTTTTGATACAGTTACCCAGATAGAGTCGAGAAAACAGATTGATAACCTTCTTAACCTTAAAATGCCATGACCTGTCAAAACTCCCACCGTGGTACATCATACCTCCACGCGGTCAAGGAATAGGCGGCTCGAGTACGGGCCCGTCAGTTATACACAGGACAGCAATGGTCGAGACAATATTCCCCCGAGACCTCCCCTGCGGCCTCCTCACTCGTCGCTCCACTGGAAGCAAATATCCCGAGCGAGGGCATGAACAAGCACAAGCACTCATGGAACTTACAAACACACACAGAGAGAGAGAGAGAACTGCAGTGATGTGCCGTATAGAAGCCGTCCCGCCGCCGATCTCACTCCCACTCACACAAACAACAACAAGCTGTGGTCCGCGCTCGCTCCATCGGATAATTCTTTCTGCTACATTCCACCTTTTTCTGCGTTATAATGGTTGGATAGGCGGATGATCTCCAGCGAGCTGCGACTCGCACTGCTCCAGGAACTCGTCGACACCACCCACCCCCTTCCACAGAGTGCAAATCCCGTGCCGGCCGGCTCGGAGGGCCGCAGAGCTAGGCCTTCCACCCTCCTCCTCTGTCTTCGGAGATATCCTCTGCCGCGAAGTTGCTTAGCCTGAAGGCAGGCCCATGATCTACGCTGCGTTTTTCTATGCACAAGAGCACGTACTGAACGCGGGTCCACGCATTAAGATCAGGTGAGCTGCACATGTATGCCTGCGAATGTATTGGGGGGTGGTATTAGAACGTATGCTTCCTTTCTTTTGCTAGTTGATAACTTGAAGTCTTGGTCTGTTCAGCTCGGCGCCGCCAACTAGGAGTACAATCACGGCCATAATACTATCGCTTCTTCAAATGCAGACACCAACCATCAACAAAACAAAAGATACACTTCAGTCCGTGGGTCAAGCCTCTTTCTCCTTTTACTAACAATCTCCCGCACGTTCAGTCTTCCTCTATTTATTTTCACCTCGGTATAACTTTCTCCAACAACGAAGCCTATTTGGCCTCTCACTGTGATAGCCTGCGGCTAGCAAGTGCTTCTTTAACTCTCCTCTTTGCTTTACAGCGCATATGGGTTCAAAGAGCGAATGGTCAAACAACTGGATTGAGCGTTAGTATATACACATTTGACATCTCAATGGTGGGAATGACTTACGGCGGACTCTTAGACAGGTCCGTCTTCAGAATGACCGGAACGCGTGTCATCTCAGTCACGTCCTGTATGTACTCGCCGCCTTCTTCTCTTAGCTTGAAGAGCTTGAGATACTTCTCTTTGTTTGTCAGGCGTGTCTCTGGAGCCTCCGTGATTGGCGCCTTGGAGTCGGATCTGGTGCGGTGCAAGTTGCCGGCTGCAGTTGACGAGGATCGAGTCGGTGAGCCCGGCACACTCTGTGTCGGCCGTTCAGCTAGGGAAGCGCCTGCCATTGCCTCGGTGATGTCTGATGCGTTGTCATCGTCGTCATCAAAGAGGGCATCGACATCATCCGTCGAGATGGTCCCGGTCTCAGTCTGCTTGCGGGCAGCTTCCTCGCGTTCCTTCCTGACCCGCTCGGCCTCTTCAGCCTGTCGTTGAGCTGCCATGGCGTTTGACATCCTGACAGAGGCAGCAGCTTTCGGTCGCTCATCCTCTGGGACGTAAGCCGAACTAGGGACGCCCTTCTCCCAGTAAAGCTCAAGAACCCTCTTCTCCTTTCTGAACTCAGCCTTCTTTAGTGGAAGCTGATCACAGTGGACGCGCTTCTCGAAGCCCCACTCAGGGATCAAGACGTCGAATGCTGACTCATATACGCAGATTACGATACCCTCGCTGATGAGATCGCCGTTGACTTCCTGCTTCTTTCTATCCATGATGCGGCAGGACTCAATATGAATGCTCTGTTCCTGGGCATTTTGAGCCGAGTCTTTCTTGGTGTTGCACGATTCGATCGTCTTAACAAGATTCTCCAGATCGTCATTGTACTCGATCTTGCCTTCGGAAAGGACAGCTTCAAGTTGCCTATGCACAATAACATCTGCGTACCGCCGGGTTGGGCTGGTGAAATGAGTGTATAGTGGTAGGTTAAGAGCATAGTGCGGCCACAGCTGTTTCACAGTCTTGCCTCCGATAAAGTACTTGGCACGGTGCATTGTCTTTAGCAGCAATGTCTCCATACCTTTTCGAATATCGGTATCGTCAACTTTGAAGAGACTGTTCTGAAGAGCGCCACTGCTGGAGCTGTCGATCTCGTAACCCAAGGCCGTCATCCGATCCGCAAAAGTCTGCAGACGGCGCTGATTAGGCGCCCCTTGTCTACGCAGAAGGGCCTTCTCTGGAAGAGCTTGAGCGAGACGCTGAGCGACATACGCGTTCGCTTTGTGCGTAATCTCTTCTACTAGCTCAGTTGCGGAAGTAGAATCGAAGATGTTGTGCTTGATAGGAATGTTCTCGTCATCAAGTTGCTGGAGGAGACGCAGCGGGGCGATTGGCTCGCCGCCCGCGCCCAAACGCGCTTCCCGAAACTTCTGGGCAACAGCCTGATTGTGTTAGCATTGTAATTCAATTTTTGATCAGTAGAAAGAACTTACGTTCAGAATCTGGAGATCCTTGAGCTGAACAGTGCTGTGCTTGAAGGATCCCTGGCCAGAAAGAGCCTCGTCAATTTCAGTCAGGGTGATCTTGCCACCGCTCTTGATAATACTCCTTCCAACCCAGATATCGCTATCTGCAACTTGGCCGTTGTGTGGATTGACGTTGAACACCACACTAACGGTCAGACGCTCCTGGCCTGGAGTGAGGGAGCAGACCTCGCTGGACAGCTTTGGTGGAAGCATAGCGCAGAATCTGTTCACAAGATGCACAGCAGTGCCGCGCTTCTTGGCTTCACGGTCGACCAACGAGTTGGCCTTTACAAAGTGAGTGACATCAGGGACATGGATACCAATTTCAAGCTTTCCGTCCGGCAAAGTCTTGAGATGAATCGCATTGCCGAGCTCGACTGAACCATCCATGTCAAGAGTGAAGGACTTCTCAGTGCGGAAATCACGACGGGCAGCAATAGCTGCCTCGTCCTCCTTCCCAAGTGACCAATCCTGGAGGCCGACGCTTCGCAGCACGGCCTCGGAGAATTCGTCGGAGGCAAAGTTGTTGTCTCGAAGAAGAGCATCAGTCTCGACCTTCAGGTCACCCATTCTACCGAGCTGCTCGACCAGAGTACCGAAGGGGTGGAGCGATGTGATAGGCCAACGCTTGATGCACGCAACGAAGATGCGGTCAGCATAGTCTTGGTGCTTCTCGACAAAGTCGCGGGGCGCCTGCTCTGTGGGGATGGCAATGAGAGGCACTCGCTTGTCTGTGGGCTTGAACCAGACGATTTTGGGCTTCTCTTGCTGGCGGCTGTCTTGACGGCCACCACCATCTCTAGCAGCACGCTCAGCTTCCTGCTTCTCCTTCGTAGCCTGGCTGCTTGGTCGGAGCAGACCAAGTGTACCGGAGAACATCTGGCCGGCAACACGCTCAATGACAGCCACGATGTGGCCTGCATACAACGGCTTCTGCTCGTCGTTGATCTCTTCCTCTTCAACAAGCAAAAGACTCTGACCTTCGACTTCCACATCATCATTCTTCTTCTGTGTTGGGCGTTGTCTCAGACTGCCTCGGCGGCGAATACCACCTTCCGCGTTGTTACTATCATCACCGTTGTTGTTCTGGCTGCCACCATTAGTGGAACCAGTTCGGGTATCCGTGATATCCTTTCGCTTCTTCTTCTCCTCTTTTTCGCGCTTTTGGGACCACACCTCGTCAACATCGAGTAGCTCAACTGCGACAAGGTCTCCCTCAAGGGCCCGATTGCGGTCCTTGCTTCCACAGATGAAAATATCCGCATCCAGGAGACCATCATGAGTGGACACATAAGCATCGCTACGGTTCTTCTTGTTAACACGCAGAATTCCAGAGACGAGTTGGCCGTCTCCGAGTAGGGCAGGAAGTGTTGCCTGAGGAAGGTAAGGAGTGAAAAGCGTCTTTCGTTGCTGCTGCTGCTGCTGCTGCTGTCCAGCCAGTTGAGGAGCGTGCTGGCTGCCCTGAAGACCGACAAAGCCTTGGCCATTCATCTGCGCAGCCTGAAGCGCCTGCAGCTGGCCAATCTGCATGGGGTTCAGTTGCTGACCCGGGAACATTCCGGGAATCAGCATCTGGCCCGGCATCTGAACAAGTTGTGGCTGTCCAGGATATTGAAAGTTGTTGAGATTGACGGACTGGTTCATGGAACCGCGGGGACGGTGCCCCGGCTGGAATCCCTGCTGGGGTTGATTGAGATTGGCCTGGTCCTGGCCCTGATTCTGAGCCTGGTTGCGCCAGTTGCCTTCGAAATTGCGCGATGATGTTCGAGCGTGACCGCTGCCACGGCGTGGGAAATCACCGCCTTGGCCGCCGGTTGACTCGGTCGAGAAGTGCATGGAGCCACCACGTCCGGCAGCGCCACCACGGCCGACTGCCATGCTCTGGCTCCTGCCGTGCGCACCGCCCCGACCTCCTCTCGTGGTTGAGCCCTGGGCGATTTGACTATCGGTAGGTGTCTGAGTAGGGGGTCTATTCTCCTCCTCTGGCTTGTCACCACCAGTAGCGCCAGGTCCCGGAAACTGGAAACCGGTCGTGGTACGTTTCTGCTGAGCAATCTCAGCAGCCTTTTTGGCATCAGCCAATGCCAAGGAGTGACGTCTCTGATGACCACCACCGGAGCCTCCGCCGCCTCGCCCTCCTCGAGATGCGGCGTTGTCTCGGCCGTGGGCTTGCTGCGAGTTGTCAAAGTTGCCAAACGCAGAGCCGGACGCCCCAGAAGACGGGGCCGGAGGTGGTCCCATACCCATATTCGGGAGTGCCGACTGATTACGACGATGTGACAGGGGTTGGGTGGGAGGAGCCATGTTCTGCTGCGGTAGCTGGTTGGGGAACTGGAAGCCGGCTTGCGGTGACATGTTTGTCATGCCCGGCTGTAAGGGATTGTAGGCACCGCCGGCGGCGAGGGGCTGCCCCGGCGGGAGCATGCCCATGTTGACATATTGTTGGTGTGTAGCTTGGATCTGCTGCTGCTGTTGCTGCAAGAGCTCGATCTGCTGCTGGATGGCAAGCTGCTCCACTGCAAAAGAGGTGACGTTAGTATCTGCGATGATGCCAATGTGGATGAAGCTCGACCCCAGAGGTGAAAATAGAGGAATCCCGAGACCAACTTGACAGAATAAGGAGAGCAAGATCAAAACATACTTCCAGGATTGGCAAACATGCTCATCAACGGAGTCAACTCGGAAGGGCTTCGACGATGGGCAATGTGAAGCCTGCGGCCAGTAGGGCCGGGAACACCCCCTGTTGGAGGAGGCTGCTGTTGCTGCTCCATGACGAGCTAGCCGGTCCAGGAGAGCACGTCAAGTGCGAGGAAGAGCTCAAGCTGATAAGCTTACGACACTGTAGTTGTCGCTGTCGAGAGTCGAGCTTGAAACTCTGTGATACGATGTGGCGCCGGAGCCGGCGACGGATTTGACGAGGAAAGACAGTCAAAGAACAGCTGGTTGTGGATGTTTTTGGGGTTGTGTGGTTGTGTGGCGGCGGGTTGTGGGTGGTGGTGGTGGTGGTGGTATCTTTTGGCTTGCTTTTTGGGTAGGACAGGACAGGTAAGAGGAACGGCTCCTCAAAGTAAGGAAGGTAGGAAGGAGGGTAAATGAAAGGATGGAAAGAGTTGCTTGCTGAGTACCAAGGAGTGTGGAAGAGAGAGAGAGAGAGTCAGAGAGGAAAAGGGAGCGGGATGGTGGAAAGATGGTAGGCAGGAGGCGATGGGGAGATGGAAGTCTGTAGGTTTTGAAGGTGAGGAGAGACGGAGAAGAAGCAGATAGGCAAGGAAGGTAGATGATGGAGACGGCGGCGGGAGCATGGACGCTGCAGTCGCAGTCGCAATGGCACTGCACCTAATGTGGTGATAGGTTAGCTGGTTGGTAGGTCCCTTTGGTGGAAGCCACACTGGGCTTGGCCTGTTAGTGGTGCTCAGCAGGACCTCGGGAGGTACTCCTGGTACTGGAGGCACCCGCAGCTGGCTTAGCTCCCACTGGTGACTGAGCACGCAGGGCCGCACGCCGCAAAAGAGCACCTCAATCCTGGCTTTTCGACGCTCGGCCCGCACTTTTGCTCCACACAAAGTGGCCAAATGACGAGGGCACAAAACGACACCAGGGTCGTGTTAAGAAACACACATCGACTACGGCATCATACGTACTACGTACCTACCAAAGCCATCTCTAATTTCATCATCTATAGGTATGTATGCAACTTAATAGCACCTCAATGCTGCCTTGATAGATAATTTTCTAGTGAGGATACCAGAGGCTAGTAAAGGCCACCTGGGCATGCTTTTGCTGAAGGAGGGCAATTCCTCGAGGGATAGGTACTACCGGTAGGCTATCCTTCGGTTCAAGTACCTACAGTACCTAGGGTATTTCGTCACTTCACCAAACCAATGTTTCCTCCTACAGAGCCTTGGAGTATGGCGTATGGGTATTGTCTATCGGCCAACAAGAAGGCTGCTACCTAGCTCTCCCGGTTCCCGTCTTTTTCGGCAAGGTGGGGATGGTGCAAGTAGCGAGCGGCACCAGTCACTACGAGGCAATGGATCAGGGAGGGAGGGAGTGAGTGATAGTCCTTTCTCAGCCTTCAATTGGCACTTCCTGGTGTTCCCTGCATTACGTCGATGATGTGCGGGAGGATGCCAGTCTTTGGGCGTCAATCATATGGATATGGTCCATGGATGGGCAAGGAGGCAAGCCCGCAAGCCCCTCAGATACTTCAGATATTGTACCTTTAGATTAGGTACGATACGGTACGGGGCTTACGAGGCAAAGCCGCCGCTCGGCTGCTGCAGACAACCTACAGTAGGGACCTCACCTCAGTCAAGATACATCCGTCCCTACCTTACAGTAATAACTGCCTAGATTATCTACCTAAGGTAGTTTAGGTAAACCTCCCTTCCCTAAGTACTGTAGCTTGTTGGCCTGACCAGAGAGCATTCGGATGATCCCCCACGGCGGATGCAAGCCACCTTGCAACTCTGTGATGCAGCAAAACCTATACGCGCATGAGGTAGCGGCAGCTCAATTTGTATGGACTCATCACGCTGACCTCGTTGATACTGCGTAATGCTAACATGAATCTGAACACGTCGCACGACTTACGGCTGTGGTAAACAAGATGCATCTGAAATAACTACGTAATATGATGCTTTGTGTATATGGGACATGCTGGCCTTGCTGGCCTTGCTGACCTTGGGTGTCCAGGACTCCAGGTGCCAGGGTAGCTTGATTGCGATGCTACGCAGTACGCTCTCCAACCATCCCACCTCCATGGGTAGAGCCCCCGACTGCGGCTTATTAGTGAGGGACCGTGCGATTGACCGGGCATCGGAAAGAGCTTCGTCCTCCACCCTCTCAGGTGCAGGATAGAACCAATCGCTAGATGTTGTCGAGACGGTACTACTGTATAGGAGGCTCATAATGTGCACGTCGCCAATGATGTCTATTGAGGCGTGTCTCGAGGGGAACAATGGGTAGATTAGTCTGCTTCCAATTGTCTGTGGGCGCTGGAGTAGCGTCTTATTCAAGGCTTCAGCGTCCATTGTACACGGCCATACCAAAATACTTAGTATTGTCGATTATTACTTGCTAGCCCTACCTAGGTAGGTAGTTTCTTCCCTTTACCTAGGTATGTCAGTACCAGTCCTGGAGTTTCACGATTCAATTGAGAATCGAGAGCTCAACGCTGCCCTGCCGGGAATATCTACCTCCCTACCTACCTTGCCTTACGGTCTTTCAAGGTTCCCCGTCCCCACAGCAGGCGCAGGTGGCTTGCGGTTGGTTAGTATTGTCCTAGCCAAAGTAATTGTTACTGCGGACACGCTAGCCGCCTTTCCTGCATAACTATTAACTACACCCACCAGCTCCTTCACCACCTTCTTTCTGCCGGTAGAAGCGGTCGCCGCCTGCCGCAATCTTCACCTATACCTTGCCATATGCTACCCGACCCGTTCTTTATTACCCAGAGCTTCGGGTTCAACGTCCGTTTGACGATCACCAACTCCAATTCACTCCCGACACCCCCGACACCTCAATCCCCTTTCCTCCAACCATTCTGATCTTCTACCCGCTCTCATCCTCTCGAATCCTTGATCCCCCTACCCTCATGAGCATGTCATTATAACTGCTCTTCCAGCCTCCCAGGTGTCAGGATGCCGAGCTCCTCGCCTACCGCCCCTCGCATCCCTCGAGGGGCACGACGAAGCTTACAACAGTCAAGTCCAGAGAGACTGCTACTCGCTGACTTCTTGACCCCCGAGCGAAACAGCGAATTGAATCACCGAGAAGCCTTACGAGCTGCGGTTGAGAAGCATACCCGCGTCCGAGAACGCGCCCTCCAAGTTGTCGAGCTATTTGAAGCCAATGAAGAAATCCTCCGCCTTCAGGAGCAACAGGCGAGAGAACAGGAGCGACTCGAGGCCGAGCGAGCAATACGCGCCGAGGAGGAGCGCCTACGGGTATTGAGGGCGAAGAGCGTCCCTAAGCTTCCTCCCGAGCCAGAGGCGCCGAAGGCGCCGCAAGCAGCTCCGGTTCAGACAAAGGAGCAGCCCGCCTCTACTCCAGCTCCCACTGCACCAGCCAAGGAGCTTTCTAATACTCCAGCGACAGCTGTCAATGGCACAGCTACACCATCCTCCACGACTACACCCGCACAGCCCGCGAATGCTTCAGTTTTCGGTGTCCCGACTCCGCAAACTCAGGCTTCAGCCACCCAGCCGTCACCTTTTGATCAGGCAGCTATCACACAGCAGCCCGCAGGGACCGCGTCCCCCTTTCAACAAGCTACTCCCTCAATCTTCTCCCAGATCAGCACTCAAGCCTCCAACAATACAAATAACCCCTTCGCTAGTCCGCCGGCTGCACCAGCTGTCAATGGAACGTCTACACCAGTTTCGGCGCCTCAGCCACAGAAGGCAGTGGCTGCGGATAGGCACACAGTGATCCACCAGAATCTCAAGCAGCTGCGAGCTTCTCTTGCGTCACAAGCCACCTCCAATCTTGCCCTTAAAAATATCATGGGCGATATGCGGCGAGAGATCCGAAAGTCTGTGGGACAATTGAGTCTCGACAAAACCGCAAATAGGAAAGTTGTAAGTAAAATTCTCTTCTGCTTGTCAATATGAAGTATCCAGAGCTGACTGTCGATATGTAGATGGAGAAGATCGTAGCGACCTTGCGAATTGCACTTGAGAACTCCGTTGGAAGCCAGCTCATTGATCCCAACCAATTTGTCCTTCTTCCTCGAGAGCCTGTCGAGGGAGCCACTCACAATGAGTCTCAGTTGCCTTCTCTATTCCTCTACCTTCTCAATCACTTCTCCAAGGCAATCCTGAGTCAATTCGTCAATGAATGTGGAGCGAACACCAAAGCAGCGGACCCAATAGGAGTGGCCGCCGCTCATGTCTTCTCCGACTCAGCCTTCCACTGGCGCGGCCAGAGCTTGATCGACATGTTCATCGCCAAATTTCGCGTCATCTGCCCCGTCTTATTCGGCTATAGGGGCTCCGAGAAGACCCAGCACGGTCGAGAGCGTGTTGGATGGAAGCGCAAGGATGGCGCATGGATCACGGAACAGGAGCACATGGATCATATGACCGGCCTTGGTGCCGGCTACGCCGCCGTGGCTCTCAGAGACTTTGCCAAGTCTAAGAAATCCAACCCCTGGCCACCTAGCAGGTACTGGGAGGCGTTCTCGAAGATTGTCAACACACCTCCGTCAGAGATCTCAAACACTCAATGTGTTGTCCTCAAGGCAATGATTGAGCACACCGAGAAGCGATTCATCGGATTCTACGGTAATGCAGGTATTGCGGCGCTGAGGATCGCACTTGTTGAATTCCCGGCTATTGCGCCTGAGAAGACCTCCGCGGTGAGATCTCTCGAGGTTCACGGACAGCTCCTGAAGAGAACAGTCGGTCTCGATTTGAGTTGATAGGTATTGCGAAAAATGCAACATATAAGAAAAGGGGAATGTCATGGAAATCGGAAAATCATTGGCACTTGGCGTTGAGGATGCTTCGGACATGTATCACGAGATACGGATACCACTTGATGAATAAGGGGGCGGCATATGTTTCTTCTGAATAGAAACCGCCTCATCTGACTGTGCGAGACAGTCCCCATGAGGCTTAGATTAGGGTATATCAACTGAAAAATAGAGGCGACATTGATCGCCCTAGCGCTACGATCTTGAAAGTTCCATATATATGCAAAACAAGTGACCGCCATGCCCATTCCCATGCCCACTCTTATAACACCAAAAGCAGAATCAACAAGATAATCAGCACCACTATCAGCACACCGATGCAGCAGCTACTGAGCCGGTCCTCGTTGTGCCGCATCACATACCGAAGCTTCTCAACGCCCGTCTGAAGCCGCCCGCCCACGCGGTCCGCGAGATTGTCCACCATCTCAAGCATTTCATGCTGCTCCTCAAGCTCGCGGCCCATGTCGTCCGCCTGCCGCCGCAGGTTGCCCACCGTCTGAAACACGCCGTCCAGGTGCGTGTCCTGCTCGCGCATCATCTCCATCTGCTGCTGCTGCTCGAACTCGGCGTAGTTGTCGTCCGCGTCGCCGTCCGCAATCGCGAACGCGTTCGGGTCCGGCAGGTCGTGCGCGCCGCCTCTGCCGGGTGCGGCGGCGGCATCCAGCTTCTTGGCGAGCTCTTCCCGCATGTCTTCGACCTCGCCTCCGACTTCCTGGACCAGCCGCTTGCGCCGCGTGACTTCATGCGCTGAGAGGCCATATTGTGCCGGGTTCGATTCGACGGCTTTGACGGACTCGACGAGGTCTGCGAGATCTTCGGCTAGGGAGGCGAGCGCAGACTCAAGGTCGGACCGCGCGGAGGCGAGCTCTGGGGAGTTTGCGTCTGTACTTAGAGATCGGATGCGTAGATACGATGTGAATAGCGGCCGCGTTGATTCCATTTGAGAGAGCACATCTCTAATCGCACATCGTTAGCCAAAGATGTGGGCGATCAGTTGACATAAAGCTTACTGTTGGACCTGGAGGAACGGGTCCTCCTCATTACTTGAAGACATCATTCTGTCTCTGTAGATGTCTCCGACACCATCAGATTATCATTGGTATCATGTACTAAGTAGTCTGTCGTGAAGTCTCATGCGCTGTTAATGATCGAGCTCGTCGGTAGAATCGGTGCGACTGTTGGACTGTGGATGACGTTGCACTGAACCGACAACCTTGGAAGGGGAAATTCCACTGGCAGGCACCTGCAAATCGGACCAGTGCCAGTGCCGCTCATTAGTCGCGGCCACTAAGAACGCGAGAAGTGCAGCTGTTTCTCTGGTCCCCACCAGCCCTCTCCTTGCCGCCCCCTGGATGGCGTCGTGAAACGTGTAGCTTACCCACCTCCCTGCTCGGCGAGGTCCCTCCGTGCATAGTGAATCTGTCCTTTAAGATCCAAGACCTCGCTCCTTTCTAGATTTACCATCTCCTCCACCATCCAATTCCCAATCCAGAGCTGAATATTGCGATTCTTCAGCTTCCACAATGTTCAGTCTCAGGCGGCTATTTGTGTCCGCCGCTCTCCTCGTCGGAGTGAGCTTGGTGCTGTTCTCGTCGACTGCCGAGGCCACCAAGGGCCCCAAGATCACCCACAAGGTCTACTTCGACATCACCCACGGCGATGAGCCCCTCGGCCGCATCGTCATGGGCCTCTATGGCAAGACCGTCCCCAAGACCACGGAGAACTTCCGCGCTCTGGCCACCGGCGAGAAGGGCTACGGCTATGAGGGCTCGACATTCCACCGTGTCATCAAGCAGTTCATGATCCAGGGTGGTGACTTCACCAAGGGCGACGGTACTGGTGGCAAGTCGAGTAAGGAGCTCTGCATTCGTCACCGTATATTTTCCATTGACTGACATGGAATCTGTAGTCTATGGCGACCGCTTTGAGGACGAGAACTTCAAGCTCAAGCACTCGAAGAAGGGCCTCCTGTCCATGGCCAACGCCGGCAAGGACACCAATGGCTCGCAGTTCTTCATCACCACCGTTATCACCTCGTAAGTCACCTTGTTGTAGCCAACAGTCCTCAATTGATATGACTAACGCTTGCACCTTGCAGATGGCTCGATGGCCGCCACGTCGTCTTCGGTGAGGTCCTCGAGGGCTACGACATCGTTGAGAAGATCGAGAATGCCAAGACCCAGCCTGGAGACAAGCCCGAGAAGACAGTCAAGATTGTCAAGAGTGGCGAGCTGGAGGTACCCCCCGAAGGTATTCACGTGGAGCTCTAAAGTACTACTACTACCCAATCCACCTGCCCGCACGAATACGTACGCTGCATCTATACTGTGCCCTATTTTCTTCTATGAGACTCTCCTTCAAATCGCCCGTTGATTTTGCTGATTCGTCCGTCGCCCCGCCTGCAGACTTGCGTGGCAGTGCTCAATGGGCAGCTGGCTATGCCGCTGAGGATCTGCCGGAAGTGAATGTCTTCAACAAAGGTGGGCACTCCGAGCTGTGGTCCATCTTCCAAAAGGCTGCCCTTTTCGGTGTTATCGTTGGCGCGGTTGCTCTGTACCTACGCTTGACGAAGAAGCGAGACGAGAGAATCGACATCGGATATGAGAAGACTCTGGCATGAAACATATATGGGGAATAGAAAAAGTCGTTCCTTTTGCTCAATTCTGCAAACCTCGCTGTTCGTGAATTGCCCTTTCTCCGTCCTAATTATGTTGCGATTGGTGAGAATGCTGCCCGGTAACTACTTTGATATAGCCTCACTGGTAATAGAGTTTCACGTATCCAGAAACCCCAAATCTTTGGTATTCCTATCTAACCCTACACTGTTCTCCCGCTTCCCTTGATTCCAATCCTCTTTTTGTCTCTTTTCATCAAAACGCTGTTTCTCTCATGTGCCAATCTAGTTCTTCTTTTATTGCACGGGGTGATCCTCGCCCTACAGGATCGCCGTCGCCATTGCTGCAACTGCCAGTCGAGATCCTTCTCCTGATATCGGCGCAATTACGAAACACCCCTGTGGCCATTACCGCCCTTGCTTTGACATGTAAGACTTGGTATCTGCTACTCCTACCACAGAAGCCAGTGCTCGGGCGCCGAGAGCGCCATTCTCTCCTCCTTCTCCTGGAAAGGGATCACGGCAGCGCTTATTATTTTTGCTCGATATGCTCGAGGCTACACCCCTTTTCGCCATCGTGCGGCCCACTGACCTTGGAACATACGACCAACAATCCCCAGCTCAAGCACTTGCGGCCCTGTTACCAGAACACCTCCTTCTTTCTGGATGGACACTACAAACTGGGCTATCATCACGCACGTCTTGTCATGAACCGTCATTGCTACGGTGCTCCTTGTGGCCTTCCTCTACATAATCTACATGCAGACCTCACAAATACGCTATATTCCCATGGCTGGAACCAGATTTGGCGCGCGAAAGTGATTGACGACCAGCTGTTCCTGTGCGCCACCCACACCATCAGCAATGTTCGCTTGCATATCTCAGACGACAAACTCCGATCAACGATGGATACAAATTCTCTCTACTGTATCTGCCGACACGTAGATCCAAGTTACTCTGTCGCCCCTATTAGACTGCGAAAGAGCCGCGAGGAGGGCGATCTGTTCGTCGAGTGTCGGGACGTCCTGGGATCCTGCGAGAGGTGTCTTACTGACTATTACACGACTATTGAGCGGAAAGAGATGAAAGTGGCAAAGTTACCCAATGGAGGGATCGAGTGGTATAAACCAAAATTCTGGAATCGGTGGCGGCCTGGTATGACGGCTTGGACCATCACCATCGTGGCATATCATCTCCTTGGAAGTGCTCGATCGCCCTTTGACTGGAAGTGGAGAGCGATCACGGGAAATACTTTTGCAACGGACGAAAGGGACTGTGATCTCTATCCGCCTGGGTTGATACAAGCTAAGTGGCTAGAATCAGAGGCCGGTTTGGAGATATAACAATATCGAGGGGCGAGCCCAAAGAGCCCGGAACCCTAGATGGAGAATTTGGTTGGCAAGTCTTTAGGGCTCTCTCTGTATAGCTGGTCTATGAGTGGGACCTCCAGTAATCCTTCCGCATAGTCTCCTAGACTATCAAAACAAGTAATAAAACCTTCATTCAAGATTTACCCTCATGTTTATAATGGTTAACCACTGGGTATTCTTAAGGAGTGAAACTATCATCCGCCTGCAGGGCTGCAAGTTGAGCTCGAGAAGAGGGATCTGATTGGGTCGGGCGGGTCGCGCACGGACCAACTTAAAGATTCGAGTTCTGTTAAAGACCTTGAGCACATCCATTCTACAGGTTGAACCAGCAAGCAAAACCATCATGAAAGTTCTGAGCATAAATTTCCTGACCTGCGCGGTCAAGGCGTGCAAGACGACGTCAAGCTCGTTTCCTCTGCACCCCAAGGATGCCGAGCTTGTGCACGACGACATCGAGATCAACCCGCAACTCATCATCAATGTGCTGCCCCGCATAGACTGGGCTGCCCTACAGACCACATCAACTGAGGTAGGAGTTGTCTTCCCCTTTAAATCTCCCTCTGTGCTGTTTTAACGATTGCAAAAAGTTGGGATTTCCGGCATTGCCAGCCCAGCCGCCAACGGCGGAGGAACTTGAGAGCAATGAGGCCATGCTGAAAGAGCTGCACACATTGCTCCTTGAGACTCAGATAATGGAGGGAAAGCTTGTGTGTGGTAACTGTGGTCACGAGTACAACATTCGGGAAGGCATCGCAAACTTCTTATTACCTAGTCATTTGGTATAAGGCCAAGTTGTGGGGAGGAGTCCGGCATGACGGGGAAAAAAGTATCGTATAGATCACTATGTCTGTGACTGGCTACGAGAAGGCGTTCCGGAAAAGGACTTTGCATTGGGAGGCATGATCTGAAGTAAACACATTACTATACCCTCGCGGGAACAAATCCAAGTTGATTCACCGCACGATGATCACACGCTCGCATCTTCTCCTGACCGTAAAACCGCATAGATAGTCTCTTCATCTCTTGCTGAGTGATATTCCGAGGGGCTAAGCCCAGATCTACATACGAATGCCATGACACGCCCGAAACTCCCGCATATGATACAAAACTGCGAACACTTAATTACCTGTTCTTCCTCATTGAATCTACATCTGCTTCTTCTGCGCAGCAGGTCCCATCTCCTTGTCGAAGGCACCATATGACACCGAAAGGCTAGACAGCGCTGAGATACCGACGTACAGAATGGAGAGGAGGACGAATGCGCCCAGAAGACCCATGAAAATGCCTATCAAGTCAGTCAATACAGACAAAGAGTAACTGAGTACAGTGAGAACGTACCTGGTGTGAAGAACTGGTACTTTTCAAACAAAGGTCTGTTGTCCGCCTTGTCTGCCCTCCTACCGATGGTAATAGGAGCAGACCGACGGTGCTTCAGCTCCATATGCACCGGCTCGATGAACTCGGATTCGTACGGCTTGCCCTCGTGCGGACTGGATAGGTATATAATGGTGTAATCATCGGACGCCTCGACTGTCTCAACTATCTGGCCCAACTCGTGGTCTGTAGTCCGTTAGAAAGATATCCCTACAGAGTCTAGAAATAAGTTCTCACCGTTATCGCCCATCACTGCTGAACGTTTCGATGAGCTGGCGCCTCCGGGAAGAGGGCTGAGCTGATGCTCCTCCACTCTGACATCCTTTCCTTTCTCCTCGCAAGCCGACTTGATATAGTTTGAGATATCTTCCGTCGCCAGTTGCCCAATGACCTCTGCTACGCTGAACTGTCCCTGGATCTTCTTGTTGTCACGAGCCCTGCATAGGTTCGGGGCGAGGCAGCCTGTCCTGTCTCTCAGGTCGGATGCGTGCAGGTTTGGTTGCGACACGACGACATAGCGGCTGGTTGAGCAGGAGCTCAGGATCTTCTTTGCTGAGTCTAGTACTTGGCCACTTGTTTGTAGCTGTTCAGTCTTAGAGATATCGGAGATCCTGCAGAGTTGTGTGAGCGATTAGTCTGCATGCTTGCTAGCAAGCCGCGCAGGGAGGCCGACTTACTGGGCCGTGGATAGCAGGACGAAGGGCGATGAGTCGGAAAACGCCTGCACAGCTGTGGAGGCCAGCAGAGCGGCTGCTGTTGAGAGACGCATGGCGGCTGATGCGGCTTTGCTGGATTGCGACGCGATGGCAGCGGATGAAGACGGATGAAGTTGGAGATTCCCAGGCTGCACGCAATCAAAGAGCTTGGAGGTTTGGCAATGATGCAGCAGCTGCGTGGTAGCTTCCGTTTCCACACGGCAAATTCCGCCAGTACCACTCACGCCGTAGCCGTACTTATTAGCCCAGTAAGTCTAGTAAGATGCAGTGCTGGTCAGTAAAGTTTCGCACCCAAGCCTCTAAAACTGCCGGCATTTAGCGCCGCGATTCAGAGCCTTCCAGGGTCGCCTTTGCAAACCAACCGCTGCGAAAAATAAAATCCTGGAGAAAATCTACACGCCACCATGGAGAGTGAGTTCCTCGAGCCAATATTCTCCCGACCCAGAGTCAAGAAGAGCGTCCTACCGCCCCTGCAGAAGAAGAGAAAGAAGGATCATGCGATTGAGGAGATATCCTTCGACAACAGCGCCAGGGAGGAATACCTTACCGGGTTTCACAAGCGCAAACTACAAAGGAAAAAATATGCCGAGGAACAGGCCGCGGAGAAGGCAAGACAAGAGAAGATCGAGTTGAGGAAACAGGTAAGGCTATCTCAGGGACGTGGTTTGTATGGTCCTCTAACTGTAGTAGATCAGGGATGAACGAAAGCAAGCTGTCGAGGATCATGTGAAGAATGTCGAAGCCCTATTGAAGGAGGCCCAAGTGGCTGGTATGGGCTCTGACGCCGAGTCAAACAATGATGAAGGCGAGGAAGAATGGGGTGGCTTTCAGGACGAGGCTCCTGCCTTGGAGCCTGTGGATCATGAAGAGGAATACATCGACGAAGATCGTTATACCACGGTCACAGTCGAGTCTGTGATGGTCGACAGAGATGGATTACACAAACCCGAGCAAATTGAATCGGGTAACGAAGACGAGGAGGAAGATGGCAAAGAAAAGGTCAGCAAAGACACAGAATCAACGTCTGGAAAGGACCAAAAGAAGCATCCTCCCAAGAAGAAGAAAAAGAAGTTTCGTTACGAATCAAAATTAGACAGGCAGGCGTCAGACAGGAAAAACAAGGCCAGGAAAGGAAGGCCACAGCGGTAGCAGGTCTAATCTTGAGAATAATGGACTTGTTGGGCTTCAAAAGATGATACCCCGTACGATTAATAGAATCATTACGAATCGATCATATCTGATGGCAGAAGCGAAATGCGGCTAAAGCTTTCATTCCTTCATAACAGTCCAGTGGTGAGGGACATGCCTACGTCCAACGAATTCTTGAGCTGAATCCTCCACAATTCAGTGATGCAATGTAAACGGAAACCTCCCTTTGCACCCGAGTGCTACAACCCGACAACCTAGAAGCAATAGGCTTGGTGTGTTTTAGATGTTGCCAATCTCTTGCTGGAACTCCTCTAGCTCCTTCTGAACCGTGGCGTACTTCTTGGCCATCTCCTCGTACTTGGATTCCCACTGGTCGCGCTCGGCCTCGAGGGCCTGGACTTTTCGCTCGAAGTGGCCGGCCTTGACATCTGTTTGACGAAGCCTGTAGGATGATGTCAGCTCTCTGTGAGCTGATATAGTGTGTGGTGAGGTAAGGGTGTGCCTGAGGCTGTGACATACTTCTCATTAGCCTCACGGAGCGTCTTGTCTGCTTCCTCGGCCTCCTCCTCGAGAAGCTGGAGTCTCCGTGACAGGGTCTCATTCTGAGTACCATGCTGCTGGCCCTCGTCGGCGGCCTTCTTGAAATCCTTGATAGCCGTCTCGAGCTTCTCGACCTCGGACTCGAGGAGACCGTTCTTGTGCTGCAGAGATGTGATCTCTTGCTCCTTGGACAGATTCTCCTGCTCGAGCACCTTGACCTTAGACTGGAGCTCCTCGGCCTTGGCGGAAGACTCGTCTGCCTCCAGGCGCAGCTGGTTCATTTTCTGACGGAGCATAAGGTTAGCCATGGTGATTCCGGGACGCGATGAAGGCGTGGTGCTGGCTGATAACCCGTGGATCGCGGTAGGCGGTGGGTGGTGGTGGTGGTGATGGCGGGGTAGATAATCAGGGGCAGTTCGGAGAGCGTAGGGAAACTCACCTCCTTGATGCGATCCATGATGGATGTTTAGTTGGTCGGGATGAAAGTCAAAAAAGCGAGTCTAGCTGCTGAACGAGGCCTGAAAAAGATCTGATGGCGACTTGAGGGGGGGATTGTGAGATGGGAAGAGTGATGGAAGGAAATGGTCAGAACTTCAAAAGGGTGTGAAGATGTTAGGTACACCACAAGCAGACCTATGCAAAATGCCCCTCTAAACTGTTGCGACCTATTCGCTGGCTTGCGTCGTGGCGGGCAGCGCACTGCTGATCAGACAGCCAGGGGGCTTGGTGGTCTTCCCAAAAGAGGTGGGGTGCCAGAAGCAGCCTGAACTGCTCCCCGTTTTGGGCCGTTTCAGAGCCGCTATCTCTGTGAGACACTCCAAATCCTTGTTGCCAGGACAACCAGGGCCCGTCAACAATCCATGCCAACCCAGAATCTGATCAACTTAAGCATCACAACACACTTGTCTAGAGGCAATTACTGCACGAAACTGAGCCTGTGCATCGAGAAACCAATACCACATCAATTTGATTCAGTGCACGATCTTTACCAGTCGTCCGTCGCGGCTGCGATCTTGTGACGATGTTGGCCGCCCGAGATCAAGAGAACTTGGCCTTCAGCCATCACGCAGGAGCTGTTGCCAAACAGCAGCAGAACCAAGGGATCCGTCAACTCCAGCCTAAGACGCCTGGAGCTCGATACCCCAAGACTCCTCTCAAGATTCCACTCAACGACGAGAACGCTAATCATGGACTCGGCAAAAGCGTTCTTGGGGGCCGCAGTAGAGGAGCAAACGAAAACATCATGACAATTGGCAAGGGAGGGAAAGCAGCGGAGAAGTCTAACTGGGTCACGCCTCTCGGTGAGAAATCAAGGAGCCAATTTCATCTGCAATAATTCTTAACCTAGACTGATCGCAGAACCTCGAACGACGAGAGCTCCTTTGGGTAACAAAACCACAAACGCAAAGGCTAGGACTGTTCAGGCTCCTGGAGTCAAAGATATTGTCCGAGAGATCGAGAAGACATCGCAACCTATGACAGTGAAGAAGGCCCAGTCTAGTGCTCCGAAGGCAGATGCATCCAAGCTTGTAGTCCTCAACGATCCTCTAAATGACGAGGAGGAAGATATCGAATACTGTCCTCCTAGGCCTAAGGATATCCCATATGAATCCGACATCTTCCCAGACGGTGTTCTGAACTTTGACGTCCTCAAACCAGAGAATAGAATTAAGGGTTATTACGATTACTACCACAATTCCGTCGACGACAATGGGATGACCAGAATTGAAAGGCAGATGCACGAATCGCAACAAAGGGCTTTCAAGAAGCTGGACGAACAGGTGAAGAAGGACCTAGATGAGATGGACTGGAGCGTCCGTGATGTCCCTGCCAGCAAACATGTACTCAAGAAGCAAGCAGCTTCCTTGGGTGGTCAGTCGACCGGTACTGGAGCCAGAAAGCAGTCAAGAATTGTTGCGAAACCTCCTCCTACAATCGCATCCAGAAAGGCTGCTTCCGCACTGTCAATGGCTACGAAGACGTCAGCTGCACAGCCCAGAATCAAAGCAAAGCCGGAAATGGTTCCTGCCAGAGGACCTTTGTCATTATTGGGGGCCAAGAAGCCTCTCAGTCAGCAAGCACCGGCGAAACCAACATCAACAGAAAACAGCGGTGCTCTGGCTGCGTCAAGAAGCACTCTGGGCTACACGAAGGGCCGCTCGGCCTCTTCGATGGTCCATGGCCGCAAACCGCAAACCACCATTGCACCTCTTCCGCGTTCCTTCAGCACTGCATCCACAGGCTCTGATACCACGATCACCCCAGAACGATATGCCGAAGGTCAGAGGACCAGTGAGAGCGAGGACTGGAGGCGACTCGAGTTCTTGTCTATCTTCGACGGAGAGGATGATGATGACGGCCAGCTGGGATCAGATCTACCCATGGATGATCTGGAGGAGAATTTCGAGTTCAAGGTGAACTTCTAATGATAATGACAACATTCAAAGACCGGCGCATCGTCAAAGGAGGTTGGCGTCAGGGCTGGTGGAACGCTTACGCTCATCAATTCATGTTTAAACTTTATCGTAACTGGCGCATAGGTTGGACCTCTTCGGAACCAAAACACTCAAAGGTCTTAACTTACAGCACAATGGAGGATACTGAGTTACTGCTTATTGTAGTGAGGCAAAGGTTGTCTCTAAAGGTGGGAGGTTCGAAGAGAAAGCAGTCACTCGTTTTTATTGCATTTACTTTGTATAATATAATAAATTGGCCAGTACGCGCAACGCGCAACGCGTTCGACGTTGACTTAGACAATGAGATCATTTCTTTTCTATTCAGGGGACTGGTGGCCAAAGGTACCCATCGCATTATTGGCATGACTGGAGAAAAATGAAAGAGCTAGGGGGCCAAGTCGCAGGGCAATAGGGATAGTTGGAGAAGCGTGTCGGGATCTCTTGTCGAATCAATGCATCCAAGAGGCCCCTCTCTAAACACCAAAAAAATTCGCCGTCCCAGTAGTCCAGCCTGCGTCACAGCTGGCTGCAACGTGCTGCTGGGAACTGATCGATTAGAAATAGACTCGGTGCCTATCTATGCAGGATTCGCAGTGCATCGTGGCTGAGAGGGGAGGGAACGAATTGCCACAGCTCGCGATATGTCCAGCCAGATGCCGCTGCAAAAAGATGGGAAAGGCTGCCACCCACACTACGTGCGTTTATTGGGTGCCCAGCCACGCTGCATGGGCCAGCTGAAGGTGAGGTAAGGTTGAGTGAGTGTGTGTGTGAATGAATAAAATGGATGAATGAGTGAATGAATGGGCGAGTCTCTCTAACAAGGGAGGAGGGAGAGCGGGAGGCGTGAGAGGCTTTTGGATGGCGGGTGGGTGGCAGGCAAATGTACTTCAGCGAGTCTGTGTAGGTATTCTTTGGCTGGAGACAATAGCAGCGAGGTACATGTGTACCCACTCCATCTGTGTCTAACCTACCAAATCGGCTGCGCTAGGACTCTACGGTAAGATTCCCTATCCCTGAATATTCTAGCCATGGGACACTTTCCCATCAAACTCTCTCTATTCCGACCAACCTCACCTCCAGATTGCGCGCCCCTTCTCCTCAATCGCACACTGTTTTCTCATGCCCAAGACTGCCGCGTACCAGCGCGATACCGGGCGCTCCCATCACCTCACCACTTCCTGACATTTTGCGCCCGGATTCCCTCCCTCGGACGTCCATATACAACCGCCAATCTAACGTCATTCTTTGGCTGTGGACCGGCATTTTTCCAGAGGCGCTTTCTCGCGTGCCCACATTCGCGCGTCGTCTTCCCGCAACACCTCAATTTTCCCCCCATCGACACACATGCATGGTGTCTGCTGCCATCTCCGACACGCGATACGATGGTAGGAGGAAGGCGGAAGCGGTAGAACAAGCACTTTTCCACGATGTCTCGCCCGCCGGGTGGTTCTGCGACATTCGCCCAGTTCTTCCCTACCGCTCCTCGCGTCACCAAAGAGAAAGAGAGGTCGGAGCGCGAAAGAAGCAAGAGGCCAGCAGAATCGCCGTCATCGACTTCTGCTGACAAGAGTGGCCGCCGCACCCCGGCGTCTCGACCTGAAGATGGCGGCACGTCTCGCTCCCGAAGGGATGGCTCGATATCAGATATAGCGCATCCCGCTACTGACGACAGCGAGTCCGTACAAGGGGATACCCTCAATACCGTTGGCTCTGCCAGCTCTCACGCGAGCACCGCATCCTCCGTGTTTAGCAGTACCTCTGCGCGACAGAATGGACTGGCCACGTCGAGATCCTCAAATACCCAGTTTACTCCACTCACAACTGTCGAGTCGCGATCCTCTTCTATCAGCCCCAATCCAACAAAATCAAGTACATCTACATCCCAGTACCCCGAAAAGGTCAACGGATTCGCGTCCCAGCCTGCTGGCACAACTAATATATCCTCAGCCCCAGATGGGCTCACCTTACAACGCATACCTGCCCGAGATCCCTCTGTCTCTGTGAAAGGCATAAAGTGCACATATGACCCTTTACTCGACCGGAGCATTTCGAGCTCCGAGAAGAAGAAGGCGAAACCGATATATAAGGAGTTTGGTTTGGTATGTACATGAATATTACACTCTGCCGGAGGGGGGAGCGTCGTCTTTCTTGAGAATAAATTGGCTAATAAAACTTTGCTATTAGGAAGATGACGCCCCCCCTTCTGACCCTCGCCTGGCGAAAGGCGGGCGGTTAGATTACATCAACGTTGATTTCCATCTACCGCGAGCACGCCTACGCCAGGCGCCTTACAATCTTAAGCCGTATACCTGGGATCGCAAGACCTCCGTAGGCCCAGGTCCCCCGACACAGATCGTTGTAACCGGTTTCAATCCATTGATCACCTTCTCCAAGGTTGCGGCCATATTCGCCTCATTTGGCGATGTGGCTGAAAGTAGTAACAAGATGCACCCGGAGACGGGAAGTTATCTTGGATTCGCAACATTCCGATACAAAGATGCAAGGCCAAACCGCTCGAGACCTGTACCAGTTTCCGCAATTGATGCGGCTAGACGCGCTGTGAGATCTATGCATGGTAAGAGGATTGAGGCAAACCCGGTCCGAGTTGAATATGATCCCGAGGGCAAGAAAAGCCGGCGCATGCTTGAGGAAGCTCTGAACAAGGAACGAGAGAAGTCACAAGTGCCACCCAAGATTCCCACAGCGCCCCGAGCGACGAACGTCTTGCCTGGTCCTCCTCCGACAGCACCAAAAGGTCCAGCCGCATACCGACAACCACCGCCGCCTCCGCCGCCTCCTCCTCCTCCCCCGCCCACTGCTCTCTCTGCAAGCGAGCCAGCATGGGTTCCTACCGCGCCGAAAAATCCAGGTCCAGTCGAACCGCTCTCCGTCCTGTCACAAATACGACGTGAGCCATATATCTTCGTTGCGCACGAATTTGTTCCCGTCATGCACACGACGATCATACACATGAAGAAGAGGCTCAAGATGTATTCCTTCGATGACATTCGTTGCGACAGGTCTGGGTATTATGTCATATTCCGGGACTCTATGTTTGGTCGTACAGAAGCGGAGAGGTGCCACAGGGCTGCCGACGGCACGGCGTTCTTCACTTATGTATTGAAGATGAAACTCCAGCTGTACGGCACTGCCGGCAAGGCTTCGCAGACACCCACCGATCAGCCAAAGGCTCGGGATCGTAGTCCTGATGCCCGGCCCACAGTGGAGGCACGACAGCGAGAAGAACGGGACCGAAGGAGAAGAGAAGACTTGAAAGACCTGGAGGAGGAAAAGAAGGAACGTGCAAATAATTTTGACCCGGTGTTGGAGGCCACCGATTTTGTCCGACGAGAACTTGTGGAACACCTTATCAAGGCCATACGAACCAAGGTTGCCGCTCCGTCATTATTCACCTTTCTAGACCCTGCCAATCATGCGGCGAAACGACGACGGCTTGGTATCAGCGATCCACAAGGCGCCAGGCTTCCGGCTCTCGTTTTCGAGGATAGTGAGGAAAAGTCTCCCGTCGGCACGCCAAATTCTCGAGCCGATCCAATCGAGCGCCGTACTGGTCGCCTGGATGTCACTGCGCTCCCACGCATCCGCAAGGCAAAGAGCTCCGGTATTGGACCTCGCAAGCATGGCTTCACCGATCCATTCGCTCGCAAGAGACCTACCGTTGCTCGGCATACATTCCGTTCTCTCCATCACAGGCTCAAGTTCGACAGCGATGACGAGTCTGAAGATGAAACAGAGAACAGGGATTCCCTAGCCAGGGACACTGAAGAACCGGAATCACGGCCTCGAAGCCGCATGAGCACCGATGAGGATGCCAAGGACGAGTTTGGTAATTGGGGCCCTCCCGATGAGGATTCCATGACTGAAGCCAGCTTCGCTGTTGAGGGCACTGTGCTACCAACCAAGAAGAGGAAGCTCGACCTTCAAGTGGAAACTGCCATCAAGCGTCAAAAGAAGAGCGACGAAGAGCTGTTTGGTATTACGATTGACCGCATAGAAACCGAGTTTCCTCTCCGAGAAGCATCCGAAGATATTGTTCTCCCAGATGCAGATGGAGCTGAAGACAAGGACACTGATGATTCGAGACTGCCTACACCGGTGCCATCTCTCCAAGGCAAGAAGAAGCTCCCTGTCGCCAAGTTGAAGAAGAAGACAAAGAAGCAGATCTTCGAGGAGAGAGAGGCTCTTAAGAGGCAACAAGAGGAAATCTACGAGGAAGAGGCAACCCAGCTTGAGACTCCTGATGAACCAACACCTCAGCCAGATGCAGAACTTGATCTAACGGCCAAGGAAAAGGTTCCTACAAAGGAGCCCGTCAAGTTAGATGAGGAGCTCTATCCGAGTGTCGTGACCTCTGCTCTTGAATTACCCTCGGATTTCACTCTCGACCTTAGTCAATTCCAGAGACTATCTTTGAATGATAGGGATCTTCCTGACCTGGCAAGACTAAGGAAGAGGTTTAATGTTGCTGAGATCGGCGATCCCGAGCTATGGTTGTGGAGACGCGACCGTATCCGGGAACTTAACTCAGCCGACGGCTCTACTGAGACTTCTGTGGGTATTGGAGGATATTACGTCCCGAACCCGACAGGCTCTGCACGTACCGAAGGCATCAAGAAGATCCTCAACTCAGAGAAGTCCAAGTATCTACCCCATCATATCAAGGTCAAGAAACAAAGAGAAGAGCGCCAAGCCAAGGCGAGCAAGACCGGTAAAGATGCAGCTCCGTCTGCGGCAGAAGCCTCGAGAATCGCGGCTGAGAACCTGGTCGCCAAGGGTAATTCTCGTGCCAATCGGGTCAACAACCGACGCTATGTCGCGGATTTGAACGACCAGAAGAAGACGCTTGGCCAAGATTCAGACGTGCTGCGGTTCAACCAGCTTAAGAAGCGGAAGAAGCCTGTTAAGTTCGCTCGATCTGCCATTCACAACTGGGGTCTGTATGCTATGGAGAATATTGCCAAGGATGACATGATCATTGAGTACGTTGGTGAAGAAGTGCGGCAGCAAATCGCCGAACTTCGTGAGAACCGATACCTCAAGAGCGGTATCGGCAGCAGCTACCTTTTCAGGATCGACGATAATACTGTTATCGACGCTACTAAGAAGGGAGGCATTGCTCGATTCATCAACCACTCTTGCATGCCGAATTGCACAGCCAAGATCATCAAGGTGGAGGGCAGCAAACGTATTGTTATCTACGCCTTGAGAGATATTGCTCAGAGTGAGTCAAGTCAAAATCGTGTCCTCTACGAGAAAAATCACTAACATGTTTGCCTACAGACGAGGAGTTGACCTACGACTACAAGTTCGAGCGTGAGATTGGCAGTTTAGACCGCATTCCCTGCTTGTGCGGCACGGCGGCGTGTAAAGGGTTCCTCAACTAATCCTTCAATCTCATGGCATGGTGGCATTTTCATTGGCGGCTTTTCTACTACGGATCAGGGCGGGCGGGCGGCCTTTAGAGCATCTCATCATGTTCGATTTCGGCACTTTCGTTTTCTATCCGTCCTCGTGCGACCGATATATAACTGCATAACTCAGGGGTTTAGGGACAAAGGGGGAAAAGTGTACTATTTTGATTCCAGATATGATCCCGCGCATACCGATGCCGGACCAACTCCCCTTAGGCCTAGGAGGCGTTTTGTTGAGAGAGGGGTTCTTGATTCATAGGGCATGAGAGCCTTCTTTTTTTATGTTAGGTAGGAACCGATGGAAGCCAGGATTGGCCTTCTTCATGGAGTGGAAAAGGAAACAAACAATCATAATTCACGAGAGTGGTAGCATGCTGGTTAATTGCGGGCCTGGCCAGCCGGAATAGCGACGAGAGTCTCTTCGAAGCAGAGACTGCTCAGTCTACCTTTGTACATAGGATTTCTGAGAGGCCGAGCTGCGGGTCAAGTACAAGCTTGATGCCATGGTTTTGAGCTCGCAGAGGGTTTGCGCATGATGGCCGAAACCCTGGAAATAATAGCGCATTGGCCTTTTGACTCGTCTGTTGCTAGCAAGATGCTCCTAAGAATCGGTGATAGCATTGCATAGCTCCTCTATCTGACATTCGGGTACAGACACCATATACTCAAGAAGGATCGTAGCGAATTTCCGGACACAGTAAGCTGAGGGCTTGGTCACAACCTTCGTAAAAGCAAATATTTATAAGCATGACTGAAGAATGGCCTTTTATCATAATCAACGAATAGCATGCAATATATTCACATTGCATGGCATGCGTGAAATCAAGATGGGTATTGTATGATCAGGCTACACTAAAGTAATGTGCCAGAAACCTACGCCCCCTTTGTATCAGGTAACAGTCCAATCCAATACACCAAACCCATGAGCGAGTGGTGGTATACAAGGAAACGCCGACGCCTGCCAAATCCTTCCCTGCTGTGCCGCTTTTCCCATTCCAAAATACTTGAAGTACTCAAACGCCATGTTTCCAGATCCTGATAATATCCAAATAACCCATTGCCCAAAGCGCCGCCACCGAGCAAATCGATTAAACTTCCGCAAGAGAAACAATCGACAAGACTATGAGGGAAGGACTCTGCCAGACTAATACAAAAGCTCGCCATTCTCTTGCATGCGCTTAAACTTGTCATCAGGTTCCTTGAAGCGGTAGGTCTCGCCCCTGACGACACGATCGACCTCTTCACGAACCATCGGATACACGTCCTTCCAGGCATTGCGGCCCATCCAGCAGTCTAGATGGCCATACCCGGGAACGACTCGGCGGCGGTACTCGATGCCCTCCTGGGCACCAGTCCGGCTGCCGAATGTATCACAGAGAATCTCGTACGTGCGCTCGGTGCTCTCCGGGCTGAGCACGGCGTTATCACGACCGACAAAGAGCAGGAATGGAATACCCTTGAGGCGCAGGACATTCTCCTTACTGGTTAGCGGCGTGAACAGGGGGCCGTTCTGCATTACATGGCCCTCGACGCCCTGCTTCATCAGCAGATGCAGAAGCGTCATGTTCACGCCGCCAAAGAAGCGGTCGATCTGCCGATGCGTCGCCTCGTTGAGGTTGCGATGGTTCCAGCACCGGCCGAAGACGAAGCTGGTCCGGTGGCAGGCCGCGTTATTGCAGATCTCCTTGCGCTCGTCCGGATAGAAGCGCAGCAGTTGGTTGATGCAACGCTGTACAAATGAGTCATCCGTAGATGTACTGCAACTGTACCAAGTGCCAGCCAGCTTCCTGTACAACCAGTCTGCTGGCAATGGGCCTGCCATAGCCTTGATCAGGTTCAGTGTTTGCCAGACTGGGTTCATGAAGACCTGACTACAAGTCACGCCCAGGATCCAGTCGGCCGGGATGGTGCCGTCGAGCATACCGCAAGAGAGAGCTACGGAGCCCATGCAATGAGCAATAGTGTAGACCTTTGGCGGGTCACGATCTGGTTGCTGGTGCTTATGCTTCGCGCGGATGTACTCCAGGCAGGCACGGATATCTAGACGAGCGTCATAAGTCGTCCAATTATTCTCGGCAACCATCAACTGTCCAATACGATGCACAGTAATGTACACTCGGTACCCTGCACGCGTGAAATAGTTGACGGCATTGAAGGGAATGGTGGGCAGAGCGTAGATCTGGTGGTCTACGGAGGCACCCGGCACCATGAAGAGGTCCTTGACCTCTGCACCCTCAGGCACATGGGTCGGCTCCCACATGTGCATCTTGGTGCAGACACCATCGCGAGCATAGATACTATAAGACTTGTTGGGGAGCGTGTTGTTGACGAAGCCAGCATACGTCGGCGCAGGGTATTGAAGAGGGGTAAAAGGGGCCAGGAAGAGAGACATGGATTTCCGAGTGAAGTAGGTCATGAAATTGGCCGCGCTCATAGCCTTCTTGAGGAGGGAGCTGCCAGTTGGTGTCATGGTCAAAACTTCTGAAAGGAAGTCTCTGGGCTGAATGTGCATCATGCCCTTAGCAACCACTCTACCACGGCGCCAGTAATCCTCGTCGTCTTCCAAGCCTACACAAGGTGCCAAAGGTTCCGTAATTGTCACATAAAGCGTGCTGGTCGACCTCCAGAACTGAAGTGGAGCTAGAGCAACGGAGGAATCAACAACCTTATAGCCATGGAAGTGAAGGAGTTTGCCATTGACTCCTTTCATATCGAAGTCATATGTCAAGTTACGCGTTCCTGGCGCCTTGTGGTCCATGATGAACAGGTTGAACTCGCCTCGCTGTACCATAAACGGAGAGCCAGGGATGGTTGGGCAGACGAAAGTGCCGGTCAGCATGCCTCGATGTTGTGGGTCATTGATGATGGTCTTGGTGTTGAAGGCTTGAACACTGAGGAAGAACCTCGCGCTTTCACAGAGGCTCTTCGCGGTTCTGGCGGCGAGTTCATAGGTCGCTCGCTCATCCTCGACCATGCCTTCACCTGCATGTATGAAGCCTGACATGACTTCGGTGAAGCCAAAACCACTAGCTTTGATGACCTCTGCCTTCTCGATAACCTCATCGGCTGCCGAGACGCTCTCAGTCTCCGCGTCGACTTCGGCGGCAGCATAAGCCCGCTCTTCCCGAGTTTGGTGGTGACGTTTGGGAGTGTGTGCTGGCTCACCAAACAAGTCCAGAATGCCATTTTTCTGCTCACTAATCTCAAGATCATGCCTATAGCAGTAATCTTCGATAGCACGCTCTGCAAGCGCCGTGATTGTGGCGAAAGGGTTGGCACCAAGTGCACAGGGGATTACAGCAGCATCAGTGACAATCAGTCCCGGGTAAGTCTCGTCACCGTTGCCAGTGAAGACTTCTCCAACATGGTTTGTTACACCACTTGTGCCGGTACCATCTCGGGACATACAAGCTCCACTAAAGACTAAAGTTAGTATGAACGTCACACGAACACCTAGGCTGTGCGGGTGACTTACCCAATGGGGTGGACCGTGACTTGTTGTTGGCCCATGAGTGCAAAAAATGGATTTTGAACCAAAGTGCCACCGACAGCTCGTGTGGCTCTTGCGAGAAGATCGTTCAGATATTTGACATGATCACTTCGGCCAACACCGAGGAATTCAAGCACGGGCTTGTCATCCTTTAGTGTTAACATGGCCTGATTGCCTATGAAGTGGTTAGTATGAAAGTCAACAGAGACAATGCGGAGCGAGACACCTACTATCATGAGACATTATCAGGTATACCTGAGTTCTCTCAATGGCACCATTCCTGTAGTAAGGGCCACGCAGACGGCTGCCCCAGCGGGCAAGTGATGCGTGCACACGGTCGGCAAGGGTGTCTTCACTTGACTTGCTCCCTGGCATAAGGTCCAACATAGCCTGTAAAAAGGGTGAAAGAGCTTGCGGTACGGCACCTTCCTCGATGACATAACCATCGAGAGGGTTCTCGTGCCCCTTTCGATTGTCAATGATACCGTTGATGGTCGGCCCTACCGGGTTGTATGGCGAGGGATATGATCGTCCCATGCCATTTACTTCATGGTCGGTGTTGTAACCAAACGCCAGCATATCTCCATTACCGCTCATACCTTGGCCAACTTGATTACTCATGTTCAAGCCCATGGCCTTGCTTCGCAAGAGGATTTCCGTGGTGCCAATGGCACCGGCCCCAAGGAATACGGCCTTCTTCGCATGTACCCACATAAGGTCTCCATGCAGGTTTGCCTTGAAGTGACCACGGTTTCGTCCGTGCCAGGCGAAGTAGATGATGTATCCACCTCGTGAATCCTTGACCTTCTCGATATATCTAACTTCGCACTCGCAGAAGAGTTCCGCCCCCCAATTCCACGCATCAGCCAAATAGGTTACAAGCGTAGTCGTCTTGGAGCCATCATTCACGCCAGTACAGTCTTGACCAGTCAGTGCAGATGGCGCCATCTCTACGCCACAACTATTAGGTCCGTTATGGAACCGCGTCGTTTGCTCAACTCTCCGAAACTTTTCAGGCATGCCAAGGTATTCAGCTTGTTTCTTGAGGAGCTCTAGTTTAGGTAGCGCAGGCCAATCTTCTGGATATTCTTGGGGATCAAGCACATCTCTCGCTTTCTCATAATCTGTTCGAGCACCGTTAGTTGGGAGCCATTGCAAGTAGGCAAAGAAATACTGACACTTATCCAGACAGTGGGGGTTATTTCTAATCTCTTGCGGCCACATCTTCATTGCCAATGTGTCATCATCAGCCTCTAGGAAAACATTGGCGTTCATCAGACTGGTGCCTCCAAGGCCTGCACTTATGTCAGTCATGTCTAGATTTAAAGATGAAGTACCGCGGGAACGAACCATTGCACACAACAGCATTCTGTCCCTTGCCGAATATCAGATGATACATTCCGGTTGGGTCGCCTCCTTCTACCATTGACCCTTCTAAGAAGCCCGGAGCAAAGTTGCCACTGTAGTGCAACTGATCAAGAGCCTCTTTGGGACCGTTGGGGTATTCCCCTGGCCACCTTTCGTGGCCCCGTTCAAGAACGCAAACGCTCTCGCCAGTGCGGGCCATACGGCTGGCAGCAACGCCACCGCCGTACCCTGATCCGATCACGATACAGTCATAACTGCTCCTCAGCAGCTCGACTGGCTTGGAGATTCGTGGAAATCTGCTCATACGGGCATCATCCGTGTATGATCGGATCTTGGCGTGAGCACGCGAGCGAGGGCCACCCGCATCGCCTTCATGAGCTCTTGGCGGTGGAATCGGATGAGACTGATGTCGCTCTTGACCAAAGGCTTCGATCACCGGCTCGGGAGTGGCGAGTTCGGCAGGGACAGGCGGCGCTGTGGTCGGCAGGTCGCCATTGGGGAAATCACCGTTAACTACGCCATTGACGCCGTTGGTATGAGCATGGTCCCCATTAGTCATGGTTTGTGTTGTTGCCGCCATTGCGGGCTTGAGTCCGATGTCTTCCTTCAAGCAATGCGAGGTAGCTTCGCTGACACTAGCTTATACAGTCCGAGCTGGTACGAAGCCCAGCTATGAATGATGGTGAAGAGCAACTGCTGATATCATCAGCTCCTTCTGTATAGAGGTGAAGGAGAGTCAAGTCTATAAAGCAGGGACAAAGGGTCTAGAGGAGAGAAAAGGATGGCTTGCAAGCTCGGTCATATCATCATATCGACCGGGGCGGGCACTAAGTATTTAGATGTGGCTCTTATGTATGTCGGTGGGCGGATAGCCATGTACGATCCCATGCGCAACCGAACCTAGGCCCATCTTGCAGTCTGTGTGGGGGACGAACAGCTCCGAACGGGACGCCCGCCATGAGAGGAGGAGGAAGGGCCCGATAGGACTACTGTCCTGTAGGCCTGGCGTTGGCGTGCAGACACAGCCATCAGGGCAATCTCTATTCGCTCTGCCGCCTTGAGGCTGGGCTGAACAAAAATAAGCAGGGTGAGTACGACCGGAACTATTGGTTGATTTACTGATGACAGACAGCTGGGGTGGAGGCGTGGCGGACGGACTAGGAATAGGAAGATTAGCCCAGTGGACCTCGAGCGGGAACGATTGACGTGCCCAAGACGGATTTGGGGGCTATCGGCGACCTAAGGACAGGGGTTCGTCTCTTTGCGAAAGACATCATCATTGGCAAAAGGACGAGCGGACATGACAAGAGAAAATCGTTCCTATTGACCAAATGCATGGTGATTCCTACGGGCCGTTTGATTGTAGTACCGTTGTGACGGGTAAGCCATGTCCTCCTCCAAGCGAAAAGCACCTTGGTTGAACGTTATCGATCCTTGCACCGTAGAGCAGCGTAAGATTGACCCACGGTAGTGTTTCCGCTGTGCGGAAGTTTTGTAGAATCTGCTGGGGTTAGGTGACCCGGTCAGTCTTACAGGTTCGCTGGTACCTGGGAATCTCCCAACACCAAGAATGTAGATGCCTCGACCACTTCGAGATACCATTCTTGTCGCGACGCATGTGTACTCGAATTGCTTTGACCATGTCTACTCCACCGAGACATCCATGGTGGGAAGAAAGATTGGAGATTTCTCGATACGGGTTGACAAGGGTCTCTTTTCGTGTGGCTTTTCCAGGCGCAATTACGATTGGTCCGAAAACGACTCTGGTTCGTGTGCCGCGATAGGCTCCCGCATAGGAGGGCAAACGGAATGGAAGGGTTCAAATATGAAGTGGGCGGAGATCTTTCGTCTTCTCGCATCGAAGTAGCGCTGTCCGGGGCGTGGCCGAGAGCCCGACAGGTCGTCCCCATTGATACTGGATGGGCTAATCATGTGAAGACGCCCATGTTTCTGCCTTCATTCTCGGGCCTTCGAGATGCATGCTGTCTGGGCGGGAGTTCGGCTAGGGTTGATGCTGCGCCAGGGATGTGCATTCAGCCCTCTCCTTAGCTGGGCGTCCACGGGCCAAAGAGAGGCCAAGGACTCGAAGCCCCCATGAGATAGAAACTCGCAACAGGACAGACAGACGCCCGTAGATAGGTTAGCCTACGGAACGTCGACGTAATGTGTATGTATGTATGTCATCACTGCAGCACGCACTTGTAACGGCCGTTTGCTTGCAGAATCGCATCCTTGGACGGTCCTAGGATGGTCTGAGAAGACGCCAACGAACCACTCAGGCGGGCTCATTTGGAGGTCGCCCGGGATGGCCACGTTCAACCGCACATCGTAAGGCTGAGGCGTTTCTGCAGGGGGTTTACTGCTCTGACCAGTCCTGAGGTGATACTGGGTCCTTGTTGCAGCGACTCGAGGAGATGGGATGAGACCGGAAAAAACATGACGAGAATCCTCGATGGATACCAGACCATCGGCACGCGCCGCAGTTGGCTCGTCTCGAGTCTTGTGTTCCGTTTGGGACAAGGCGCCGGGATCCTGACGGGGACCAGTGGGGTGGTAATTGAGGCACAGCCGGACACTAGATTACCAGCATTTCGGCTGGTGTCCCCACCGCTCAACTATTAATAAACGCTGGTAAAATACCTACCTACCTTCGCTCAGCTCCTGTAGCTTACACGGTGATTCCTAGTTATTCCTAGTTATAGCAAATTGACAGCCGTCAGACGGTGGTGTCGCAAAGTTGCATCGCTTATCAGCCTGCCACTGCCGTCGAGCCAGCATTCTCAATGGTGCGGGGTGTCCTACCGTTCGCTATGTCGTCCTAGATTGTCTGTCCTATTCCGTTTCTCGGTGAGGTTTTATGATGGATGCCTCAAATGCCTGGACAAGCAAGCACTGCCTCCGCCTCTGCACACCACCTTCTATCCCCAAGCATCCAATCCTCGGCAGATAAGCGCGGTTCGCGAATCGGTAGGAGCCCTGGCCGTCTGACGCAGCCGCCTATCATCCATGTCGTTGGAGGGCACAGCAAAGAAGCTGTGAGGGAGTTGTAAGAACGTTAGTTTGATGATACAGAATGTACCTAGGAGCCTAGGTATGATGTATGTATGTATGTATGTATGTATGTATGTATGTATGTATGTTATGTGATGGTAGGAGCGTCGACGGCACCTACCGTTACCGTTGTCTTTGCCGTGCTTACCTTCCCTGCCTTAACTTAACTTAAGCTATAGTCGCCCTATAATCGACCTCACCTCACTTCCTTATTCGGGCGGGAGAGCTTGCAGCTATCACAACCACGGCACTAGCAGCTGGCTTCAAAAGCCGGAAGGAAGGACTGACTGGCCCAAAGCTGAAAACAGGTAACAAGCTGCGCTGAAGGCCGTTTACAGTGTAAGGAAGGTGCCACCCAGCCACATTCACATGAAATGTATCATGCCCCTCTTCCATTCGTCAATCGTGACCCCTCCTTAGCTTTTTGGGACTATTCTCAATCACATCCATCGCCCATCTGAATGACTGCGCCAGTTTTGCGTACGAGACTAATGAAGGCTCCAATGCCGAACTCTTGCAGGAGCGTCAATGAGAAGTGGCATCATGAGATCATCGTCACCGCCAATCAACCCTCACCGAAAAGATGGATGGTATCATGAAGTTGGTATTATTCCAGAAAAGTAGCTGAACAGAACTACAACAAAAATCCGCAATCGACAAGGCAACCAACCCTGTAACAAAAAGGAATACAGCCGCCCTCTAACCCAAAAAGACTGTCCATGCCGTCCCAAGCACTGTACCCCTTGGCTCAGGATCTTATCTATGATCGCTAGACAAATCAGGTATCATCAAATCATGTCTTTTTTCGTAGTGGCGTTTCCCAGCGCCGTTGTCCATATTCTCCGCTTACCACCAGTCTCCCTGGTCGTGCATGGCCTGCGCAACCTTGACGAAGCCGGCAAGGTTGGAACCAGCAACCAGACTGGGGAGTTCTCCCTCGGCGGCGTCGACATACTTCTTGGCGTGGCTGATGCCGTTGTCGAAGGCGTTCTTCATGATTGACTTCAGCTTCTCGTCGACCTCCTCGCGAGTCCAGGCCAAGCGCTGCAATTTGATTAGCCCCTTACTATACATGCACCACAAAGATCTGCTCCTTACCTGGCTGTTCTGGGCCATCTCAAGACCTGACACGGCGACGCCACCACAGTTGGCTGCCTTGCCGGGACCGTACCAGACGGCCTCGCTCTTCTTCTCCTTGCGGGTGGCCTCAAAGACCTCAATGGCTTCCAAGGTGCAGCCCATGTTGCTACCCTCGGCGATGAACTTAGCACCGGATGACACTAGCGCCTCCGCCTCCTCCTTGCTGACCTCGTTCTGGGTGGCACACGGCAGTGCAACGTCGACATTGCCAACGTGAACCCAGGGACGAGCTCCGTCAATATACTTGTAGGAGTGCTTGTAGTCGGTCAATGACTTGCGCTCGAGCTTCAGGGCGGCAATGGCATCAACATCCTCAGGGGTAATGGACTTGTCGCCCTCTGCGATGATAGCACCCTTGGAGTCGGACAGAGAAACCACGGTTGCTCCAAGCTCAATAAGCTTAAGAGCCGCATACTGAGCAACATTGCCAGAGCCAGAAATAGCTACTCGCTTGCCGGCCCAGCTGCCAGCACCGGCATACTCAAGCATGTGGCCGACATAGTAGACAAGACCGTACCCAGTGGCCTCTGTTATGGTGGGTTAGTGCCTTTTCCTCTCTCTATCAATCCGAGATAGATCTTCGGAGCGAGACCGCTTACCTGGTCTGATCAAGCTGCCACCCCAGTTGAGGCCCTTGCCAGTGAGAACACCCTCGAACCTGTTCCTCTCCTTCCGGTAGCAGCCGAACATGTAGCCAATCTCTCGGCCTCCGACACCAATATCACCAGCAGGCACGTCGGTGTCCGCACCAATGTGTCGGCTCAGCTCGCGCATGAAAGCCACGCAGAACCGACGGATCTCCGCGTCGCTCTTGCCCTTGGGATCGAAGTCGGCGCCGCCCTTACCACCTCCCATCATCACTATTTTTTCTATTAGCTCTTGTTGAGTTCATTGTGATGTGCCATAGCGCGGTGGGGCGGTCGAGACTTACATCCGGTCAAAGCATTCTTGAAAATCTGCTCGAAACCTAAGAATTTGAGGCTAGATACTAGCATTAGCTCTCTTATCCTTTCCCTGCTGGATTAAACGAATCCCTAGCTCACATGGACAGATTCACGGAAGGATGCAGCCTCAGACCACCCTTATAGGGGCCAAGAGCCGAGTTGAACTGCACACGGTATCCGCGGTTGACTTGCAAGTTGCCTTTATCGTCCTCCCAGACGACACGGAACTGAATGATGCGCTCGGGGATAGAAACAACCTTGAGAGCCGTCTGGTACTCAGGGTGCTGCTTGAAGAGGGAACTGTTCTCGAGAGTCGTGACAAGCTCTGCGAGTGCAAAATTGTCAGCAAACAGTCTCCGGAAAACAATACACGGACGAGCATATCCATGGTGATCACGTACCCTTGTGGGCTTGTTCGAACTCGGGTTCAGAGGGAAGGACAGGCATTATGGCGGCTTGTTGCAAAATTTAGGGTTTAACAAGTGTCAATTGGTCTTCCTCGAGACTCTAGTGGGTGGTCTCAATGACACAGGTATATTTTACAGATGAGTAGACAGGACGACCGCAGCCTGACTCGAGGGAGGTTGCGAGGCTTTATACAAGGCCAGCGAAGGTCGGACCATCTTTACCTCAGCAAAGTCGTTAGATCAAGCTGGCACTCAAGAAGCTTCCTCCCGAGCGGAGAGTGAATTTGTGAGCTTTAGTTTTCTTTGATGTCATGTACCAGCCTCGGTGGTGGGGGGCCGTAAGGCGGCCCTGGAGTCAGGCTCACACTAGGGAACGCCGTGTTCGCTCAGCAGCTGTCTCAGGCGAGTCGCCTGGCAAACTTCGCTAGAGGCAGCTCCCCCCGGCAATGCATTCTGCAGGTCTAATAGACGGCTCGGCACAAGCTCGATCTCCTGGCCTGGTGAGGGCGGAAAGACGACCGACGTCTTGCGATTGCGGGACTTATGGTGGGGAGAGAGCTGGTGCCGTTATTTCACGCATCTCCTCCAACCTCCGCGTCTTGAAGCTGCATCGAGGATTAATCGACTGAGATATTTCTTTCGCAGGGCGCTAGGTGCATTAGACCGCCTTCTACAGCACGGAGAAGGTCACTTTGAGCTGTAAATACCATGTGTCTTGGATTTGCGGGATCCTTGTGATTCGCCGTATCCGGACCGCCAAGAGGCTCGACGTCTGCGCGGTTTGCGGAACCCAGCACGCCCTGCACTGCTCACATGCATTTGAGGCGGAAAAAAAGTGCCTCTGGCGGCTCATTCGTCAGTGATACACTGGTGACGCACACCAGGGAGTAATGCTGCGCCTGTGAGCGGGCAGCCTGGAAACAAGCAACGAGCTACCCCTGGACCGGCGTCCTTCCTTATCCGTGAAAGTCCATTGGCTCCTGAGCAGACGATTGGATATCACTTTAACGTTAATGCTACGTACTCAATTTTTTTCAACTGGCCGACACGCCTGGCTGGACCCTGTTTAGATTTCCATGCTAGATTGTTAGCGGGCAGAGCGGGCATTCCGGGGGTGACAAGCGACAACGGAGCTCGAACTGGGCTGATCCTCTTTAGGTCACGTCGACTTACACACCTTGAAAACCGCATGAGAAATTTTCGTGACAAAAGCTGTAGACAAATCTCAAATTTCACTCTCAAGTACGGGTTCTTGACAGCCCCGAAGCCATCCTCCTACCTTCGGCCTTGCCATGCCATGGTTAGAGGCTGTGATCTGCTGCTCCGCGTTCCGGAGATTTGAAGCCCCCACGCAAGATCTTATCAGATCAAACGTCTCTGCCAGACGAACATTTCCCGGAAGGACTCGCCGCGTGACCGCTGACTGAGGTCCTCTACGGATGCTTGGACGCGCAACTACTCCAAGGCAAAATCGCTAGATCACAAACTCTATGGAGTCTCTTCAGACTCTCTTGAAAGCCGATTTCGGTCACTCGTATTAGATTCTTAGGATTCTCATGCTCATCCCAATCTACTTGGGAGGACACTTCAGCGCGCAAACCATACATATGCTCTTTACATTAGTACCGCCGTGCCACTCCACCCTGAACGCCAATGCCAACTATCATGAGGCCGTACATTAAGGCATAGAAGACAAAAAAAACCACGTATACGCTCCGACTTCGCGCCTCACCAGATGGCGGCTTGATCGAAGTCGAACCGTGTGAGCTCCTTGTTCGCATCCTCCAAATCTTTCTTGGCCTTCATGCGCATGTAGAAGATCGGACAATCCTTGCTGCTGCAGATGACTTCGCAGTGCATGCTTCCCTGGCATCTCTGGCACTGGGTCCAGAGTCTGCCGAACCTCACCTCGAGGTCTGACACCTTGTCCAACGTCTTCTTGTAGAGCTCGCCAACACGGGGCGCGTCGTCTGCACAGACGGCACCGCGACTCTCCTCTTTGCCCGTGAGAGGCTTCTTGCAGCCCATGCAGGTCTGCGTCTTCTTGGTGAACTTCATCAATCCTCCAACCGTGGGCGCTGCCACCGCGATGGAGCGAGTATGGGCACCAGTCAGCAAGGACTTTGCCTTGGTTTCGCCCAAGATGGGCTCAAAGATACGGCCCAAGGGCTTTGCCAGCTGATTGTCTAGGTAGTATCTCGTGTCAATAGGGACGTTGTTCTCGAGTACGTAAATGGGGTCTTCTGATCTCTCAAAGTTCTTGGATCCTGCGGCGCCCTTCACCATGACATATGCAACACGATCACCAAGAGCAGGAGCTGAACCGGCGTCTCGCTTCTTCATCCGCTGGGCAAGCTCCACGTGCGCTTGCTTGGCTGTGTAGTCGTCTTTGGTGAGGGCCTTTGTAATCACAAGCTTCGACATATCGACCTTGTTCTGCAGTAGATCTGCAATTGTGTCCTTGACGTACCTGCAAATATTGTTAGCTTTGGGCTACTGATTGCGCTTGAGGTGGATGAACTAACTCTTGAGCACCCGAGACGTCCTGATCGATCAGGATCATCCTCAACACCTTCTCGATGACAGTTTGGACCAAGAGACAGTTGTCACGTCGAACGGTCTCAATACCTTTTGTGTCCATCTTGTCGAACTTCTCCGGCTTCGTCCAAAAGAGCCCGGCGTATCGCTTCTTGTTGATCAGCAGGTATGGGAAATAGACCTTCTCGAATTCCAGTTTGATGGGTTTGGTAAACTTGGATGAGACGAATTGTGCCGCTTCCTCGCCTAGCTTCATGGCTTCCGCAAGATCCTTCGTCCCAAATTTGACCATCACAGAATCAGTGTCACCGTAGATGACCTGTGCATCATGCGAGTACCCATTCTGCATACAGTATTTCGTCTCCACCTCGTGTTTGGTCTTCTCAATCATCTGTCGACCAAAACTCGTTGTGCTGCTGGCAATTTCTAGACAGGGCAGCTTTCCATTCGTGGCACCTGTCAGACCGTACACCGAGTTGGCACTGATCTTCAACGCTAGTTGGCGACCGTTCAACACGGCTTTCTTGAATGGATCAGTCTCAACGGCCAATTCTCTCTTTGCTTGCTTTCTGGCGGACAAGAGTTCCTCAAGAATCTGGGCGAGGAGCCCCTTCCTCCGTTGAGCAGTGACGAAGGTGTCTCCGTTTGGAGTAACAATGTAATCCTCGTCTTTCTTCAATCCGAAGGCCTCAATGGCCTTCTTCGACACAAGTGTGGTATAGCACAGGTTGTGAGCCTGCATGATACTGGGATACAGCGAAGCAAAATCGAGGGTCGCGATTGGCACGTCATAAAAACCACGAGTGGGTTCAATAACTGTCGCACCCTCATACTGCTCATCGGAACTATCTGCCCTCAAGTCCGGAATGACTAGCTTTTGTTCGAGAGCCTTGCGGAAGAGCTGGCTAATGAATTTGACTTGCTGACCACGAGAAAGAAGAAAGTTGAAAGGCACACCCGTGACTCTTGCCATTTCAGTGTAGTTTTCAAGACAGGAGAGCTTGTCCATCAGTCTCTGTGGCAGGTAAGCGTCCTTCAGGCAGTACAACGCCAATCTTCGGCGTGATTCCGGCGTGCCGTTGAACAATTCGGTAATCATGGTATAGTGGACGTCCTCTTTCTGCTCACCAAGGAAGTGCGAGCAGACTGAATTCAACGTGTAACTTCTCAAATGATGATCACGTTGGATCAGCTGCAGCAGATCGAGCTGCAGTCGGCCATTGGTGTTTGTCGCCTTGGTGTCACGATTTCCCATCTGCTTGCTGGAGAAGTTGGTTTCCTTCGATACAGATTTCACAGTGGGAATTCGGGACCAGTATTCGAATCCGTGCACTTTCAGATGCTTTGCTCGATCAAGTAGATATGGAAAGTCGAAGTTGGAGATGTTGTATCCGGTGATAATATCCGGATCAACCTTGTCCAGAAAATTTCTCCAAGCCATAAGCATCTTCTCTTCCCTCTCAAACTCCAATATCTGCGTTGCCACGATCGGGCTTGTAGTGTCGAGACAGAAAACATTCCGGACAAATGGCTTTCGCTCTCCATATTTCGTGACGACATTGGCTATCTGGATGACAGGATCCATATTTGCTTCGGGAAAGATACCCTTGCGGCCAGCGCATTCGATATCAAAAGACAAGATTCTAAGTGGCGCCATCTTTGACCACTCTCCCACTGGCTTGTGGGCAATGAGATCGAGATAGCTCACTTCAGCCTCGATCTGACAGTTAGACTGCTTCTGTGATTCTGGGATGAGGTGATATTTGGCCGCTGGGGCCTCTACCCAGGCCATTCCGGCAATCTGATATTATGTTAACAAGGGCATGCGTAAGATAGAAATAGCCACCTACCTTGCAGTCGACCATGAACCGTAGCACGTATTGAATGTTGTCAAAGGTGAGGATACCACCATCGGGAGACTTCCACAGACCTTTCCAATTGGCATTCCCACTCTGAATGGTTGTTCGGACCTTGTTGATGAACTTGGGGTCTGTTACCGTGATTTTCAGGTACGGATTTTGTGTGTTGTTCTGGAACCCATAGATATTTTCTCGCATGGTCATTTGAACCGAATGGATGACCGGTTGGTGCTGAGCGATCTGAGACTCGAGGTATGCTCGAAATGTCGGACAGTCTTGTGGAGTGAAAGAGCTGGGGGCGGCCACGTAGAGATAGTGTTTAAAGTCTTTGACGTGAAGCATGACGGAGTTGCCATGTTCAGTAACACCAAAGAGCTTCACTGTAGCATGCCCTCCATGGATGGTGCCCTCCTCGGCCTCGATCTGTTGAAATGTCAAGCTATTTCGCTGAGGACTGAAGGTTTTCGGGACAGGTGGTCGTTCCCAAGCTTGGTCTTTCTCAGCGTTGGCCTGCTTTAGGCCGGAGATATCCTGGCTGAGCTTTTCGAGAACTTCGGATTCGAAGGCGCTCTTCGGCTGGCTGGATCCAAGCTTGTTGTTCTGGGAGCTCTTCAGCCCTGTAGCTGGAGATGATGAGAAGGGTTCGAGTCTCCGTTTCTTGGAAGAGCCCGGTGTGGCGGGGATGTTACGACGGGCACTTGAAGCCTCGCCGAACACCCGCTTCTGTGGCAAGACAGAGGCAGACATGGCGGGAGGATGGAAGAGATATATCCGTAGTGATCTGACCGAGACGGTAGGTCGACTTAGCTCTCCAGCTTCATGAAGCTCAAATAAGGGCAAGAGACCACGGCTTGAACATGTGTGCAGATTGTGTTGTTTGTAGGTGCAGCATAAGTTGACAAATGTGGACAAGACAAAAGGTCGTGTCCGCGGACAGGGATCAGAGACGCGCTTTCTATCAAGTTGGTGACACGCGATGCCCCACTATGTTAATTGAGAAAGAGGCGCGATGGAGGCGTGGTCACAAGCTAGGTCACGGGGTAACTTAGGATGTACAAGGAGGCAATGGCCCCTTTCTGCAACACATTACTACAGCCATCTTGTGATAGTAGAGGTTTAGGGAGATCCGGTATTTCCTCAATAGCTAACGCTCTTCAACAGTTCTCATTCAGTTGTCTGTTGCAGGTTTTTAAATTGAGCTTCTGGTGGTACTAATCGCAAAACCAATGGCCTCAGGCGTATACACTTTTAGAACTAAGCAGTCTAGGAGATCCACCTAATACTGGTTGTTTCTCGGGGAATAGATGAAGAGAATGTCTGTTGATGCCCAAGAACGAATCTGATTGCTTACTCAGTTTTGAATGATCTTGTCATATAGAGCCTCTGTAAAGTTAAATGGTCTGTGAGGATGTTCTGACAAGTGCCAGGAGTGGCCCCTTTCAAATCGATGGACTCAGTTGGCGCCGCTGGGACTTCAGGTGCCGAGTAAACAAATCACCCCGCCAATACTAGGCCACAAATTGTTCTACCCTTCCGCAATTATCTTTAGCGACGACATCTCTCCTTCAGGAGAGTAGCAGATCCTAGTAAATATGGCAGACCGACACGGAGCACCTTCGCGCAATGGCACAAGAGGTATCAATCATCCCCGTCCTGCCGCAGGTGGTGTGCGGCGCAACCTCTTTCAAACCGGATTGACCCGCCGACCGACACCGGGCTCATCAACTTCTGCCGAGACACTGCGCCTGGATGTCGATGTACAATCCGAATCTTCCGATATCGTAGTTCGAGACAAGAATGGGGAGATAGAACTTGAAGATCCCCCGACTCCGCCAATTGATGATCCCGATGAGATTGCACTTGATGCGCGGCAGGAAAACGAGAGTGGGTGGCTCGATTGCAGTACTGTTGGCTGTCTAGCACAAAGCGACTAATACAATGGTAGAGGAGAGGCAGAGGCTTGCAGATGCCGTCAAACATCATCAGATCAACCAGCATAGCGTACCTGCGCAACCAGAAGGTGGCTTGACTGATCTCTCCTCGCCAGAAACATTACTAACACCCATCATAATGCAGAGCTCTTAGAAGCAGTCCGGGCAAGTCTACGGGCCAAGGTCGCGGCGCTAGCAGAGGACAACTGGATGTTCGAGAAAGAAGATGAGTTACGATACCAGTGAAGACCTGGCAGAATGGAAGGTAAACAGCGGAATGACGCCATGCATATGCTACGTAATGCGTACAACGCTACAACTCCAGTCCTCATGCTCTTCTTCTAGTCCAGACCCTCAGCAGTCGGGGCCTCGACCCGCCTCACGGGCGGCTTCCGAGACGCACCTGCGCCGGCACCCCCAGCACCTCCTCCGAACAAGCTACCCATCATGTCGAAGAGAGGGTTGCTCTGGCGCGGCCGTTGTATCCCAAAATACATCTCGGCAATCATCTCCAGCGACTCATTCCACGCGCCAACCTCAGCAATATGAGTCGCGTATTTGCTCTGCAGCTGCTTAAACATATCGGGGTTTCCTCTCTGCACAGCAAGGAGCAGCAGGCCAAGAAAGTTGAGGAGCGGAAGGCTAGGAAAGATGCGAATGTCGAGGTTATTACTGCTGACGTCTTGTACTCCAAGGCCCTTATTATCCTCGACTAGGGCACTGGTGAAGGTGCGGTAGGCAGTGTTCGCGGCTCGGACGTTGGCAAGCAGGAGATAGGGGAGGACAGCCCGCGAAGCGTAAATGCCGGCGGTGTGCGTCTCGTTTTCTTTGTACCACTCGTATTCCATCCGTGTCAGGATCTCGGCAGAGTCTTTCGTACCTAATACCAAGTGTCGTTCCGCCTCATATGCCTCATGCTCTTCTGCGTAGAGTGAACCAGCAACGTGGTGCAGCTCTGGGTCGCCGGCGGGGTATTCTCCAAACTTGGCAGACCATCTAACCAACGTGTGTAAGCATTGGAAAATCCGTTGAAGCATTATGATGGTGGCACTCACGCAATCATCTCCCCGATGAACTTCTTCCTTGTCGGCTCCTCGCTGTCAAATAACCTCAGACAAGTCAAGAGCTTCCCCCTGGACGTTGGGTCGGGCTTCAGCTCCGCCTGTTTGTAAACATCAACGAGCAGGTTGCACAAGTCACCACCGCTGCCGCCCTGGCCAGCCTTCAGCATCGACTGCGCGACGCCATAGAGGATGTCGATTGCGGCGTCCCAGTTCTTCGCCTTGATGTAGCGGGCTGCCACGACCCGGGTTTGCTGCTGGGCCTCGTAGTATTGGCCTTCAGCGATCCTGTCCTGCAGACGAGTGATGATCTTCTCGATCTTATCTCCTTTCGCGGCCATGACGATCTTGTGCTCTAGGGGGCTGACACTTAGGGCTGCTAGGTGTATGTTAGAGCGTAAAATAATGATGTTGGTTGGGGCTATTTAGCTAGTGCTGGGTAGCTTCGAGAAGGAGCTGTTTGGATGGCGGGGTCATGAGCTGGCGGATTTCACCCTCATTCTCGTCTCTGTATGGGAAAGTAGTAGCGGTATTATAACCTGAAAATTTTGGAAACTCCACTAAACTACGCATGGTTGGTGGAACGGTATCATCTGCGCTTCCCATTTAGGCGCCTGCGCAGGTCCCGGGTTCGACTCCCGGACCATGCAGCTTTTTGTTTAATCTGTGGAGTTTGGCTGGTGTTTACTTCACTTTTTGCTCTCGAGAAGCTTGCTATGATTGCGGAGGATTGATGTTCGCTTCATGGGTCGACTGACTCAAATCACTACAATGATTGGCTAAGTTTCAGGAAGCCGTTAGATATGGCGTCCCGTCTCCGTAGGCTGAACATTCTATAAGAAGTTCTCCATAGCCGCTTGAAGAACATAAAGTGATAGATCACGGCTTACTCCATACGGAAAGCTTGTATGATTAGCATTTATGCATATCGTGATGTAATTCTCCCTTTATTGTGACCATTGCGTTTCATTGAACGCTGCAATACATCTAGCAAAAGCCAACATAGTCCGAGTCTCGTTATTCAGTTTCCCGTTGCTCGGGGGTGAATGATACAATCTTAGCAGGACAGCTTTGGCCATCCATGGAAGGTTGTGGTGGACAATCTTTCTTGATTTTGTGCTGACACCTCCTCTACATCCATTCCCGTAATCAGTCCTCGTCGGCAACTTTATCAGCAACCATCTCCTTAGCTAGATTGATAACTTTCTCTGGAGGTCGCTGGTTCTCAGCTGGCTCCGCCGGGCTTGAGAGGCCCGGGATGGGGCTAAGGTTCCCGCTTGGCGGTCCTGGCACGGGGATCTTGATATCTTCAGGCGACCCTGGCACCATCTTGGGATCGAGGCCCGGGATGTGAATACGCTTGGCCTCGTTCTGATAGGCAGCTGGAATGATTTCGATGATCTCATCGCGAGGAAATTTGAGTTTAGGGATGTCCATGGTGCTACAGTGCATCAGATAGGCATAGAGCACACGCAGGACAGACTCGTGGGCAATGATAAGCAAATCGTTCTGCTCGCGCTCAAGTTCGAGGATAATGGGCTCGAGGCGCACCGCAAGATCGTGGTAAGACTACAAATATCAGTAAATTTCTGGGCAAGCAGCGCTGGACCAGGTACTGGTGACTAAGTTCGGGGGGTAACTCACCTCTGCTCTGGGATATCGGTGGTGGTATGGGTCAAGCTCATGTTTCTCGACTTCATCAGGGTACAGGTGACGAATGGCACGCTCTGACAGCTTCTCACAAACTCCTGGGTTGATCTGACTCATTTGTGAGCGTTGTCGGATCTTGAAGCCCTTCTCCTGGAAGTAGTGGGCTGTCTCAGTAGTTCGCAATCTCGTCGACGTCCAGACTGTCAGAGGGCGAAGGGGTATGTCTGCTCCTCCTTCCTCAATGGCAGATTGGCGCTCCTGCTCTCGGTGCTTGAGAAGGGTTTCCGTCATCTTCAGGGCATATGCGCGGCCTTCTTCTGACAAGGGGGCATCGCCCTTGAATGTGTCCTCTCCTCCTGCCGTGCCCGCTCTTACGAAGAATGTGGTGCGTGATTTGATGTGGAGGTTGGTGAGATAGAATACGATGCGGTGAGAGAGATAGTTAAAGCTGACGTTGTTATAGAAGAACGCTTGTCCAGCATTAATCATCTTGACGTAGTTCAGCTCATTCTCGTTCATGGTCTCGAAGACTGGGATCTTCATTTCAATACGCTGAAGATAAAGCTGAGCCGCCTCGTCTGCGTCCATACCATGAAACTTTATGCGATTAGCTTTGGATGTAATCCGTTACAATGCAAATACTCACATCAGGGGACGAGATCTTGACGTTCCTAGCATTCTCCCGCAGAATCCGATCGTCATTGACGTATGATTCCAGGAACAATGTCTGCACCAGAAATATTAGTCAAGCCTAATGGAGGGAAAATAGCCTCCTTACCTGAACGTCGTGCTTGGCAAACTCTTTCGCTAGGGATCTACGACCACTAGCCGTAGGATTTACAGCATCATATATCGCCACTTGACCATTCTCATGATTCAACCAGGCATAGATGTCTTCGCGACATCTCTTCAGAATCTTCTGTCGAAGCATCACAGACGCCGGGGATGCATTTGGAAAGAAGTAATCCTCTGGTACAGCCGCTCCGGGACCCATAGTGGCACGCCGGTAGTCCCCTAGGTGAAAGATGCGGGTTTTCACGCCCAGCCTACCTTTATCAGTTAAGTAAGACTGAGGTAAAATGGAGCAGAAACATACCATCCAAGATAACGAGCCATGGAAACACAGATATGACTGTCATCGGTCAGCCAAACACTCATTGCGTACGCTGGTGAGATTGCTTCCTCACGTCTTGCCTCGTGCTGGCAGCCCAACCATGACGATCGCTATCCTACCCGAGTGGAACAGTCTCCCAGACATCGTGCTGTAGAGCTGGGCAGGCGCCATGTCGTTGTCTTCCGGTACATCATGAATTCCATCGATGAAGGTAGAGCTCTTGCGGCGATAACGCGGCGCGTTCGCCGCAATTTCTGCAGTACTGCTCACATCAGTATCGTTCTCTAAAGCATCCCCCAGTTCGAGACGATCCATCTGAACGTCAAATGAGGCACTACTGGTCGTCTGACTCTCACTAGCACCTCGAGGAAGGCCTGTGCCCTCGAGACGCTCATAGCTCGCCATTTTTTTGTGTTCCTTGAAAGGTACAGGGACCGTGATCTAGGCTATATTTGCTCATAAAAGAAAGGAGGAGAAAGAAGCATGAGATATTTTTCAGGGAATGAATGGGTAGGTGAATCTAGGAAAGAAAGTTGAGGTGAAGGAGAGCTTTCTCCTCGAGACAGGCCAGAAAGGTTATGCAGTGATCGACTCACAGGAGTGTGTCCATTTTGCGGGTCTAGCACTCTGATGAGCCGCTTCTTTACACTTGAGGAGTGACCAGAGACTGATTTCTTGCCAGTCGAGGAAGTTACACGGATTGAGTTGTGCTGTAAGGCGCACTGCAAAACGCAATACAATTGCGGAGCCTGGTAGCCAACTTTGTGTGCTGGGTAGTCGTTTCTTAGGCTTGCAAAGACAAGCTACAATGAGACCGTGAACTATGAAAGAATTGTTTCTCGGTCAAGGTTGTATTCATCAGAGATAATTTGATACATCCAGTGTAAATCGCGCATGAAGCGGCTGCAGATTTGTGTTGGAAAGGCCTTCCAACTTGCTGTCAACCTGCAAGTCTTAGTCGCCCCTTCTACCCGATCCAAGCTCGGCAATCTGGGTTCGGGTTAGAATCTTGCGCTGGAATTCAGAATAGTATGGAGTCACTGCACAATAAATAGAGTGCATCCCTTAACTTACGGAATCAAAGATTATATCGACTATGATCGGATATTATCTTGGGATATTGAGAGAGCAGTTCTGGTGTTGTGTTATGTCTGTGGGAGATACTCTTGAGGAATAATCCGGGGGCAAGGACCGGTTGGTCGACATGCAGGACTGATCTCATAGTCTCTCGAACGCTAACAAATAAATAGACAGGGTAATGGTGCTAAATACACTTATGATTTATTACACTTTGACAGGTTAATGAATGAACCTATAGAGAACGTCAATGCAACTCATATATTACCTATTCGTACTCGATTCTTCTACAACCTATTTTTGCAAGATGAACATCTTGCCCTTCCATTCGCTTCCTTGATATTATCAAGCCTGTGTTTTTAATCGTTATATGGAAGTGGGGCATCTGGAATGAGGTTTCCCCGTTTCCGTTGCCTTGCCGTTCCGCGCCGCTAGGCTCACTCTAATCCTTGTCGTCAGTATGGAAAGCTACCGCGAAATTTTTGGCCCAGCTTCCTGAATCCAACGACCTCACTTTACTCATCTCCTACAATCCAGCAAACCTCGGGATCGACCACGAGAGACTGCGTCAGTCGAAGGTCTAGTGTGGCAGCTTTGTGTTGACCTTGTCGATTATCTTGGTAGTTGGTCCTTGTCGTGATTTTCTCACATCCTCTCCTTGCCGGCAGCCTCTTCGTTCAGCTTGCGACCATGGCCACGCCAATAGATTCCACGTTCGCCTTTCTGCGCAACAACCCACTGTCTTCATCAATCTCCGATGCCCTTCAATCATTTCAGGATCGTCGAGCAAAGTTGGGTTTATCGAACCCAGGTACCACAGAGAACTTGGCAAAGGAGGTCCAACGAGATGTCCTTCTGAACAACTACATGTTCACTGGCCTTCGGGCCGATCTCACCAAGGCCTTCAGCTTGTCGCCGCTCTTCCAAGTCTCTCATCAGTTTGCCATGGGAGAGCGATTAAACCCGTATACCTTCGCGGCTCTATACGGCACCAGCAAGGTTTGTTTGCCTTCAGTCCAGTTTCCGCCGAACTTTCGCGCGGCAGTTACTATCTAGTACCCAGCCCTCTGCTAACATTGTCATACAGGTCTTCCTACAAGGCAACGTCGATAACGAAGGGCAGCTCTCCACAAGATTCAATTGGCGATGGTCCGATGCTCAGGTCTCCAAATCCCAATTCTCGATCGCCCCAGGCACCGGCCAGGATATGGCGCAGTTCGAGCACGAGTATACTGGCAACGACTTCACGGCGTCACTAAAGGCGCTGAATCCGTCCTATCTCGAAGGCGGACTGACTGGTATCTTCATTGGAAGCTACATGCAGGCAGTAACTCCGAGACTTGCTCTAGGATTGGAGGGTATTTGGCAACGAGCGGGTCTGACCCAGGGACCGGAAACCGCCGTCTCATACTGCGCCAAGTACAAGGGTGAGGATTGGGCTGCCACTGCTCAGCTCTCTGCGCAAGGCGGTCTCAACACGACCTTCTGGAGGCGTCTTTCTGAGCGAGTTCAGGCCGGTGTCGATATGACGCTGTCTCTCGTCCCCGGACCTGCTGGTCTTCTTGGCGGTAGCATCCAGAAGGAAGGCGTCACGGCATTTGGAGCGAAGTACGACTTCCGGATGTCCACTTTCAGGGCGCAGCTTGACTCAAAGGGAAAGCTTAGCTGTCTGCTTGAGAAGCGTGTAGCTGCCCCCGTAACTATGACCTTTGCTGCTGATGTGGACCACGCAACTGTACGTCACTAAAGCCCTGTCAGGCTCTAGCGCAATGAATATGCTAATGAAGAATGGTGTAGCAACAAGCGAAGATCGGCCTCGGCATCTCAATTGAGACCGGCGGAGAGGAGCTCCAGGAACAGCAGGAGATGTTAGGAGCCCAGCCATCCCCTAACATCCCCTTCTAAACGCGGTTGGGCGACCTGAATGTCCTCAGCTAAAGCATTCCCCGCTCTGCTCTCGTCCCGTACAAGTCATTAATCTCGTCACCTGATGTTCGCTAGCTACGGGCCGAGCGCTTCTCTTTCAGCTTCCTGGGTTCTCCTTCTCCGTTTGTTTTACTACGGCTCGATGGCCAGCATCCTTGGTCAATGGTGGTATGGTCAGGGTCTTTGCATAGGCTCTCACGAACGATAGACATCCCCTCCATCTCGAACCACACACATGGCCATCATCGACAAATCTCCGACTTCTCTCATGTCTTTCCCCACAGCACTCAAAAACGGTCATGAAAGTTTGACGGTCAGGTTTATGTATACTAGACTCACTGCCCTGGTGTTGAAGCGCGTTGGCTTGCTATTGGGTGGAAGGGGCCGCACAGGGAAACACTTTTTCACGGTCTCGTCATTGGATCAAAGATTCCAGCTGACGTTGTGTAGATATAGCAATGCATGCATGTAAGAAGAAGTGAGGTGGTGGATATTGCCCCACGGACATAATTTACGCGATCTCCAGACATTCCCAGAGTGACTGCATCTGATACTAGCATCCTATTGTACAAGTCTTCAGATTTCAAATGCCGTGCCTGACAAAAGGCGCCGTTAACTTCGGGGACACCACTGTGCCAAGGATCTCACCACAGTGGGCAACTGTCACAGCATACCTCCGAGCCACCTGCCAATTACCAGGAACTTCTCTTGATTTTCTACGTGATTGCTCTCCTCAACCTTGCTCTCATATATAGCCTTGGCCCGACCGCCTCGGAATGTGGGGAGTAGGCTGGTAGGTTTATATTGCGGCATGAAGGACGCGTGCGTAAGCTACTTTATACCCTACTTCCGGGGAAGCAGTCAAGACTTCGGAACGGCAAAGACGGAAGTTGAGGTCACAGGATCCATTGTAGCGGCGCTCAGAGGTATAGCCGTGAAGGCTTAAGCGATCGAGAATCTTGTTCGTGAGAGCGTTTTGCCCTCTGCTCTTGGAAAAATACATGTTCAGATACGTTCTCGATGTTTGCGCTGTCCTCGCGCCCTTGGGCTTCATACCTTTCTTATGGGCAAGTTCAAGGATATAGGTCTCTGTAACGATATATCTATCACCTATCATGCCTTCAATTGATCTATTTCTGTCTTCTCATAGTTCCAGGCTTTCGGGCTCATAATTCATCTAGACTATACATTCTGCTTAAAGAGCGGGCTGCTCAACATTGGGTTTTATGCTAGGTCCTTACGCTCCCGCCGTCTAGGTATAATCAGCCGCAAATTCACCCGGTTTTGTATTGGGGAGCGTTCGTCATCAAGACAAGCTTTTTGATAAATGCTCCGGCGCGGCTAGGGAATTTTTGTCGTTCCGATGTCATGCGCTCTGGTGTCATGGTAGTCTTCCCTTATTGTCGCATCGCGCAGCGAGCCAAGAGCCTACGTTACTTCGTATAAGCCGGCAACCACGGCACCCACGAGAGCAGGTTCCAAACCATCCAAGATGAGAGCCGCAATAAGGACTCAACTAGTGGAACGTCGGAAATTTTACTGTCTCGAGGATGGAGAGCTCGAATCATAATCCAGACACCACTGGTCAGCCTGGCAGGAACCCCTGAGATGGCGTCAATGCTCTCTCCATGGCGAAACCCCACAAGATCAGTGCTTTTCATATGAACACATCATATATCCCAAGTGAGATGAGCCTAACTATGCTCACAGAATGTTCCCCGCATCTGCCACCGTACCGGCACTGCAAACGGGTCGGTGCACATATGTGATGCTGATCTCTCGCGCGGAAACAATCTAACCTGTCGCCATCCTTGGCAATATTGTCGCCGACGCCGCGAGAACAGCTTACTGGAAGTCGCAATGATGAGATTTGTGAGCCGTCAACTGTTGCAAATCCGGGTCCCGGCCAGGAGATGAGCTGCTCCTTTGCCTGGAATAGCTCAGGTTGATATATTCTTCGAATTCTTCCAAATTGTTGCTATGATGTCTTCTCCACAGACTTCGTAAGCCCTATGAGGGGGTTCTCGCGACGAGTATGGTGAAATTTCAAACTGAGAGTCAATTCGTCTTAGACAGATATAAAAAGGAGAGGCAACTGTGCTTGTTGTGGATTTAGCAGTGCGCTCTTCACTCGGTCCTTAGCTTCTAGTGTCTATCTTCAACATCAAAGCCTTGCGTAACTTCAAGATGATCCATAAATTTGTTCTCGCTGCCCTTCTGCTTGCACCTAGCGTGCTCGGACGGGCCCTTCCTGAGGATGTCTCCACCGACATTGCACTGGAGAAGCGAGACCTCGGCTTCGTAAGAACCATACCTTCTCGATTCTCTTAGTATCTCACTAATCTCCTGGGAGGCTTCTGCTGTCGACTTCACCAAGCGAGATGATCTGGACATCTTAGCCCGCGAGACCGTGACACCTGATGATGCCGAAGTCGACGAGGCAGATCCTGACAAGCTGCACAAGAAGAAGAAGCGTGCGTGTGCCTTTAAAGAATCCAATAAAGATTGTCTATCAGTGTTAGCTAATTCCTCTTTGCAGACAAGAAGGGAAAGAAGCCGTTCCCCAAGCTTCCTCCCCGTGAAGAAGAGGAGGCTGAGGAGGACGAGTCGGTTGAGGCTGGCACCGACAAGTTGCATAAGAAGAAGAAGTCCCGTATGTATACCACTACAATTACCACACACACGTATTGTATCTCAGATAACCAGCTAACTCCAGGGATGTAGACAAGAAGGGCAAGAAGCCCTTCCCCAAGCTTCCGCCCCGTGAGGAGGACACTGAAGAGGAGGATGAGTCTGTCGAAGCCGACACCGATAAGCTGCACAAGAAAAAGAAGTCCCGTACGTGTAATTTAGGAAACACTAGGCATCTATTTCTCATGCTAACTTCATCACTGTAGATAAGAAGGGAAAAAAGCCCTTCCCCAAGCTCCCTCCCCGCGAGGAGTCTGATGACGAAGAGGAGGACTCCCTCTCAGCCGACCCCGAGAAGTTCCACAAGGATAAGAAGGGCAAGAAGCCTTTTCCTCCTCCACCGCCACCCAAGAAGGGCAAGCATCCCCCACGTGACGAAGACGCTGAAGAGGAAGAGTCTGCTCCTGCCGAGCCTGACAAGTTGCACAAGAAGAAGCGTGAGTAAACATTATCGGCTGAAGTCATGACTATGGCTGACTCGGAGCAGACCACAAGGGCAAGAAGGGTAAGGGACCAGGACATTTTTAAGCCGTTTTCGAGGCTGCGGCTAGGAGCTGACGAAGAGACGTCTCGATGGACTTATGTGCACGGTTCTATTCTTCTTTCTCTATACTCTCTCTTTATTGCATTGCTATCTTTCGCTCACTGGCACGATGCTCTGCACATATATTTCATACCAAACTTTTATTGCAAAGTGTATCAAAATGGTTCTTGAGTGCGACACTTTCATAAAAAAAATTCAAGTGAAGAGAGCAAATTGCACTTGCTGCACGTTCTATTCAATTATAGTTCCCATAATGTTGACACTGAATGATGCTCCGTCTCTTGGGTACGATTCCAATGATATGGCCCACACTAAAGGTATGACTTGCATCCTGACCTATTTCAAACTACATGCATCGAAGTATTGCATTCTGGCAAACTGGAGATGGGTCTAGGTGCATCTCAATTTGATCCTTCCTCCACTGATATAACTCCAATGGCTCCTCACGAATTGCCATTGATCATCCCCCTTTCGCGGACAAGCGAAAAATCCCGGGTCTCCACGCCCAGAAGCACGAAGCCTCCAGTGAATGACCGGGAGCTTGTTCCCACGTTTTGCCATCGCCCGAGGCGGCTCTCTAATGTACCTCTGAGCTCCTAGAAATGGTTCAACTCGCTGTCGAGTTCACAATATCCACCGACCCAACGTGCGTAAACGTGTATGGATCGGTCGCAAACCAGCTGTACTCTTCTATCTTTCCATCCATTACACCGTAGAATCGACCAGCCATGTTCATGGCGATCGAAGAGAAGTTGGCCGGGCTCGGTCCTCCTGAGATGGTGATGTTCTGCTTGGTGTGCCAGGTCACATTGTCCCATCGGTAGCCGCTGATCGTCCCTTCGGGTTTTCGAGACACCACCAGTGTTTGCAGGTAGTCGTCAAATGGCGAGGCGGCATATTGCGGCTGAGGATCCGTGGGGATGCTCACTGCTATTTGGAGTCCTAGGAAATTCCATGTTAGAATGCATTGATCATTAGACAATAATGGTAGCGATTTTCAACTTACCGCCCTCCCAGACAGCACTCATGTTGAATTTCAATTCGTTTAGATCTGCACTCGCATCCCAGTAAAGACGCAGTTCTCCGGGGTTCATATCCTCCTTGCCGCTGTCACTGATGAACGGTATCATCGCTAGTCCCGATTCTGGGTCGATTTGATACCCATCGAAAAGCTGTGTGTCGGTTCGTGTCCAGTCGCTAGAGTTGAGGACATTGATAGCTTGATCATCATCCTCGTACGCTACGTAGATGTACCCGGCACAGCCGACAGCACATCGATGCCACACAGCAGCAAGATCCGATGTCTCAGCCGCGGTCTTGCTCGGCGACTTCATCAAATCGCCAGTACTCCAATTCTTGCCCGCCGGGTCAGTAGTGTAGATCTCCCCGACATTATCTGTTTGAGTTAGGAAATATAGGTGCATTTCAAAAGTGTAGTCTGGAGGGCCAGTGCTTGCGGCTGCCAATGGCGACCTCTCCTTGACACTGATAGGAGTGCCCGCATCCTCGAGAGCGGCTGAGACATTGACTGCCGCCCATGTCTTGTTATCCGCATCCCACAGCGAGACCATGATTGAATTAGTCTTGTCTTGCGAGAAGACAGCGTAATGTATCATATCATCGGCATCCGTCCAGTTTACAGCGGCGAGCCGCGAATTGGATAGCAAGCTTGTCTCAGCCTCAGTGGTTTCGTTGCTCGAATTGCCTGGTCCGAAGCCACCCGTCGAATTCGTCGGCGCATCTGGGGTACTTGTACTTTTTGAATGTCTCGAAACCGTTGCGCCGACAGCTCCTCCAACAACTGCTGCGATTATTACCACAGCCACCACACCGGCCACAATATAGAATGTTCGCGCAGCCAGCCCACATATTCTCTTTGTCTTGTGAGATGATGGAGCCTTTTCTTCTGGTGTTATGGGTATCGGTTTCTGAAAGGCTGCCTCGTGATGTTGGCTCGGCGAGTAGCTTGAGGAGCCTGAGTAGGACGCCGAAGGCGGCTCTGTATAATGTCGCACCGGGTACGGGTGTTCGGGGAATTGAGAGGGGGTTTGTTGCTGGTCCGCATGCTGTAGGTCTGAATATTGCTCCTCTGTCGGTGGCTGCGGTTGGGGTTGAGGCTTGTAGTATCCGTAGTGTCCTGGAATCCCCCTCGGATAGACAGCCTGGGGCATTGTATCAGGATCGAATACCACCTCTTTCTGATTTGAGAATGGCACCACTTCCTTCTGCGCAGGCTCATTCTGTGGCTCGTGGTCGTCCAGCGCATTGATGCGCTCGCCGTCTCGTCCTTCTGCCATACTGACGACTTTGCACCCGAGGGCGCTCGGAGTACAAGATAGACACCGCCAGGCGACTCACCACCACTTACTTCAAGTCACAGGTTCGAGTGAAGTCGTAAGGATGAAGGATGCGAAAAAAGCATCTGATGTCGAGGAAAGTGGGAGGATTATGGAAGAGAGCGTGGGGAGCCCGGGAAAGTGTCGCAGATGTCCATCCTACCAAGTGTACCCAGTCAGTCAGTCTCCTGGCGTTGTCTGGTCTGGTCCCCCTCTTCGCTGTGGAACTAACGAGATAGCACACGCCCTACCGATGCTACCGGCTCGGCTACGGAGCCAGCATTGATATCATAAGTTCCACATGTTAACGTTAGCCGGACACAGGCCCAGAGAACAGAGCATGTAGCAAAAGCAGGGTCCGGCAGGCCGTTAGAGGCCAGCTAGGGGCTGGCGCTGCTACACTGCTATCACGCCGCCCAGAGGAAGGATGAATAGAATTTTGGATCCAGCAATTAAGCCTGCCTCGCCTGCCTTGGCCGCAGTTCCTCCAGCGCGGCATGATTGGGCCATTCCACTGCCGGGTCGAGTCCGGTGCGCAGAAGCCAGGATCCGAGATGGGGAGGTCGCCAGCGATCCCAGTCGTCGACAATCAAGACAGGATGCTGATCCCTGCCCTTACTGCAGAGAACATGCCTGGAAGCCACTCCTCCGGGAGGTCCTGCGTGGTGGCGCACAGCCAAAGAACACACCCAAGGACCACCCTTCCAGCGCTGGTCGCTACAACGCCCAGCCCAAAACGTAGCATTGGCGTTGCTGCAGGGGAATCCTTTCCCACAAATCTCATGCGCGCGTTAGCTCCAATGAACGATCTCGCTTCGGCCGTTTGGAGCCATGCGTCTAATCCTGATGTTGGGATGGCCGTCCTACTGGTCTCACGGGGATGCTGGCCCGTCAGCCCTAAGCCCTGGCGGATCCCAGAAGGAAACGCTTGATCTTCTCCAAAACGTGGCCGTTGAGAAAAAGGAACAAGGCTGCTGTCAAACCTGCACGAAAAACATTCTGTTACACAAAAAGAAATAAGAGAGGGTTGACAGACGCCTTCAGCGCTGATCTCCACGATCTGAGGACTGTCTCACCTCAATTCGCCAGCGGCCCGCGGTGGTGTGTTGCGGGCAATTATTAAGTTAATCGCTGTCGCTTACAGGAGGCGCAGCCCTGCACTACGACATTCAAAGTGGCCTATCGTTTTCGGACGACGACCAAATTGCATCTTCAATCGAATCGTCTATCTATGTAGATAACCGTCAGTCATCACAGTTGCAGATGAATTCACAACGCTTCTGTGCCCAGCGTTCTGCCAAATAGCGCTCGTGTTTCCCCTGAATGAGAAAGAAACCCTGCAGGATGTATGCCAATCCGCCTCAAGTCACTGTCTGCGAGAATAGTCCCTTGCTCCCATCGAGCTTCAATGAACGACTCCGTATGACGAGTTCAGAGTTCACGCAACATGGTATTTCTCTGATGACCTGAAGATGGCACCACGCGAAGAACAGATGACTGATTTTTCCCAATTGGCAAAGCGCTACCCAACACTCCCTAGCTGACAGGAGGTGTCAGGTTTCATGGAAAGAAGGCATCTGGAGGGCCAGGTTTCACCAGCAAACACAGGACCTCTGGTGATATAGCAACG